TGTAAAGAAGGCAATTGACTATTTGTAATGAAAATAAATTTTTATTGCTTATGTGTATGACAAAAATACTATTTAAGGAAGTTCTTATTGGACATAAGTAGTTTCACTTTTTAATACATTTTTTTCACATTGTTTTCACTTTTACCATCAACTGTATTAAAATACTGAATTCCACTAAATACACTTGTCAATAACTTCCGTTCATAAGAAGATCTACCAAACCGAATCTTCAGTTGGTGAGATAGTGTCAGATGTTGAGCTACCATTATGTTTGTTTTTGCTTCAAGACAAAATTAAATTTATAAACAATTCCATTCTTATGAAACGTTGTGTTTTATTACATATTGCGGTCAAATTATTTTGGTGAATGGGAAAGTTACCGGTTATACCTTAGTTTGGGATATTGTAACATTTACCTGTAATAAAAAGTTCATTAAAATGAATCAAAGGAATGAATCCATTTGTCAAGAAAATGGGACATGATCGTATCTTCCGATGTGTAAATAAGCGCTTTCTAAAGACAATGGAATTTGAACTAAAATGTAACTGATTTTGATAATTGACTAATCCTTTGATTACAAAGTAAACTTATAAGAAAAGATAAATCAGTAAAGACACACACACACGCACACGCGCACGCACACCAAACATGCACACGCACACACGCACACGCGCGCACACACACACACACACACACACACACACACACATAATAAATAAATAAAGAAAGAAAAAAGAAAGACAGACAAGAAAGAGATTAGGTCGGTGAAAGTATGTCAGTTTTATCGATAAAATTTTACAAAAATATTAACTACATCGGTGCCAAATAAATCCTGTCATGTCCTTTAACACAATGTTTTGTTAACAGTTCTGTAATATGTTTGGAAACAACATTTAAAACAACAAATAAAACACTTGTTATTTTCTTAAGTAATTAACTTAAAACAAAAAGGCCAATTATCATACCTGACAAATCGATGCTCTTGTTTTTGATACATTTCTTTTTTGTTTTGAACATTTTTGATTGAAGTTCCTTTGTGTGTCCTTTTCGTTTTGTTTTGTAAAATATTTACAAACTGACTAAGTCTCATGCTAGTAGTATATTGTTTTTGTTTTGCTGTTTTGTTTTTTAATTTCTTAATTCACGGTTATATTCGACAAAAGCTTTATGGGGAAGTTTATATGATTAATTAATGTCTTTAAAATGATTAATGTCTTTAAAATATGATACCATTAAGAAAATAAAATCAAACTAAATGGAGATTTACATTGCTTTAAACAACTTCATTCGCGAGTTTACATTTTTAAAACATTAATCCTAATAGTTTAAAAAAATAAATTATCATATTCATAACTCACGAGAAGGCTTGCTTGCATAATTATGTCTTATAACAATTTTTATTATTTTAAGCTATTGGTATACTACACTGGCAGGTAAAAAACGTGTGCACGTCTTTTCACAAAGTTTGCAAAGTGATTAATAAATATGCAAAATGTTTGCATATTTGATATCAAATTTTTCAAAAGTCTGTTTTTTATAATTATAATCTTGTATAACGTGACAGATGAGAAGTTGTAACCGGATTTTATCGGAGTTTCTCATTTTTAAATTGTCTAACGTGACAGATGATCAGTTGTATCCGTATTTTCTCATTTTTGAAACTTGTCTAACGTGATATATTATCAGTTGTATCCGGATTTTCTTATTTTGACACTGCGGAAAAATATTGATATACGGGAATATACGGTCCCGTATATTTGTCATATACAGGCGTGTACGGGATGTATTTGTCGAATATACGGACCATGTATACCAGTCCGTATAGGGAACACCGGATATTCGGGAAGTCCGTATATGCATCAGGCATATACGGAATTCCGTATTTGCCCCATATACATGTACGTATATTTGTTCGTACTTTTGAAGTATACGGAGAATAAAATCCCGTATACGGACTTTATCAAGGTTGCTATCTTTAAACTTTAAATACACCAACGATATACGGAACCGTATTTTCTACATATACAGAGGATATATGGACTCGTTTTTTCTACGTATACATAGGATATACGGAACCGTATTTTCTTCATATACAGAGGATATACGGGATCGTATTTTCTACATATACAGATGATATACGGAATTGTATATTCTACATATACCGGGGATATGCGGAATCGTATTTTTGATATATACAGGGGATATACGGAATTGCATTTTTTAGTTGTACACATGGTATTTTTGAGATAAAAGAGGGTACAGATGATATCAAAAGCATTTACATATAAGTGACACGTATATATGATCAGTTGAATCTGGATCAACAAGTGTTCTCGACCGCATGGATCTGACATAATTGACGTTTTGATAAAAAGAGAAAATATGAATCCCTGAAGAAACTCCAAAACAGCAAAAATTTAAAATGTTTCAGGATTGGTGTGATTGAGCGTTCTCGTGGACGGTAAGGTCAAGCAAGTGCAAACTACCGTCCACGTTCAAAATTTTAAATTTAGATGTATCCGTAGATGTGTTCACGGATGTTATTATGGAATCTTCAATGCAACACTTTTGTGTCATTAAATGAAAAGCAGCGTATGGTCCCAAAGGGAAAGAAAGCATGCGTCCCAAACAAAAAATCAACTGACGAAACCAAACAAAACGGGATTTTTGAAAGGAGATCAGAAGTTATTAGGCCTGCAAATCACAGTTAGGACCTCAAAAGACAAATGTGGAAAGAACGCAACATTTAAACATTATTCAAGTATAAATATTGGAACCAGCCAATTAGAAATGATCAAAAAGATATATGAACTAAACTTTTCTAAAAAGAAGCCGGTGGAAATATCGTTCCAAAAGTAAACAATTATGTAAACAATATATTTTGCAAAGTTGGTATATATACGAGGGGTGATCCAAAAATTCGTGGACAATGTGTGTATCTCCATAACGTGACGTCCTACCGAGGTGAACTCTTTGGATATTATTAATCAATGCTTTTTTAATAAATTGACCAAATTTTAAAACACAAATTGCATTTTTTATCTATATATGACAACATAAAAACATGAAGTATCAAAATTGCGGCGCAGCTTACTTTTTCTCTGTGATGTAAACGTTTTCATCTCATTTAAACACATGTAAAACCTGTGCAAACAAAGAAAATTGCGGAAACGTTATAATAACGTTGTTTTGATGTGTTTGACGGCATTCTGTCAGTATTAGAAGACATTTTGAAGTTGCGGTTATTTTACGCCGTGCTTTAAAGGACAGGTGCTAAAAACAGCTTTATCAAAAATGGACGTCACGGATCCAGCAAAAACTTCGGACAGTTATACAGTTCTGTGTAAATCTTGGAAAGACGCCTGGCGAGACAAAAACAATGATCGAAAGTGTGACAAATAAACCGTCAGTGTGTCGTTCTCTAGTTCTTGAGCAGAAGTACTAAGTCATTCACCATATTCGCCTGATCTTTCCCCGTGTGACCTCGCCTTGTTTCCCAGGTTAAAGAAAGAGTCGAGAGGGAAACGTTTTGACAATCTGGACGAGTTGAGAGGAGCCACCCAATGCATACTGTCATCATTCAGCCGAGAATGGTATGCGAGTACATTTAGAGACTCGGTCCGCCGCTATGAAAAATGTGTGCGGGTTAAAGGGGAATACTTTGAAAAGTTATAAGGCAAAACGGTAACATAGATTACTTCCTATGGTAGCATAACGTCGTTTGTGACGTCGTAAGCTGCGCCGCGTTTTGTCATGTCTATGTATACAAACTGGTGCAAAATCGTTAATTCTTGTACAATCTTTACAATATTTTGAGAATGTGTCGACATATGCTCACTAAATAAGATACTAGAATTTCATATGATTTGCTTTATTACTTTTTGTTTTATGCAGCGTGTCCACGAATTTTTGGATCACCCCTCGTATATGCCTTTATTGCTGAAAAAACAACAACAACAAAATTTCACTTGAATTAAGTGCACCATGCATTTCATGTGTCAGTTTATATTTCTACTCTGTCACACGGAGAGTAAAACTGTGAAAATGAAGTACTTAACACTGGCTTATAAGAATGGCTTGAATACCTGAGTTCATTTTTTTAGAAAAAAGGCAAATTAAGAATAAAAAAAGATTTTTGTTTCTCTGTAGAAAGTGCTAAAATGTATTTTATAACGTGAAGTTATTGATTAAAAAGATGTTCGATGCATTTCACATGAATGAAAAAGCACTGAATGTGAAATAATTTGTAATAAAGAAAGAAAAATATAAACAAAGTGGTATTCAACTACCATACATGATACCGAATCACAATAACTGTACTTGTGCCAAAATACAAAAGATAAATAACTTAATATATAGCCAATGTGTTTCTTGAAACTGTAACAAGATACCAAAATATAACATATTCTCGTTTCTTATTCTTTTAGACATAATGTTCCGTTAACTTATCATAGAATAAATTATGCTACATGACGAATAACTTTCATTATTAAAGTTGTATTATTCAAAAATGTGAAATTATGCCCATCAAAATGTAAACAGAGGGTGTACATGTGAAGTAAAAATAGGGCAGCGGTGGCCTAGTGGTTAAGGTGTCTGCCTCTCAACACAGAGTCATGGGTTCGAGCCCTACTCGGGTCACGACCAGGTTTCTTCATATGACACCAGTGCTGGTTGGTTCCAGGAAGCGGACTCAAAAGTGATTAATATAAGTTGTAAGAACTTGTTTCGCAATCGAGCTAAAATAAATATGTTTAAAGTGATATTATGCTCATTTTTCATTGTCAAGTTTAGTTGAATTAGCTATATATTTCAAAAGATTACCTTTTTTAATGACGATTGACAAATACATGTATATGACAGTTAGAAAGGTTTTTAATAAAGTGTATAAAATGTCAAAATATAAAAAGACTGCCCCACTCTTTTGATCGCCCGAACGTTACCGATAACTCCCGGCGAACATTTACGGAAATTTCCGGTAGTCACGTGGTTCATAAATTATTCATGAGAAGAAGAAAAAACAACAATGGCGGATGCTACAGGCGAGTCGAAAGAGGGGAATTCGAAGGAGGAAAACGTGGGTTTGAATCCCTGTAAGAGGAAAAGAAAGTTAACAGACACGGAAAGAAAGAGAAGGAAGATAAAGCGGAACATACAATTCCACAAGTCGAGAGTGTATCTTGGGACTGAGCAGATTCGATGGGCAGAATTGAAGAAAGAGAAAAATTTGAAAACGGACCGTGAAGTTGCAACCCTTCTTATAGACAAGTAAGTCACAAACTATCATTGTTAATGATTTTTAATAATAGTTTTTAAGCAGTTACTCTGTATTATCATTTTCGTTTGTTACTTACTTGTGGTGAATAGAACAGAACTCGGAAACAAAATATGTTTACTTCGTACACAAAACTATTCGTAACAAATTATAGAGTATGTTGCGTAATGGACAGGTAGTCATTTACAGCGTTAACAGTTTTATTCCAATAAGCTAATTGAACTATTTCGAAAGAAAAAGAAATATTTTGTAAACTCAAAAGATTGAACAACCCAGGAAGCTGAATGTTCGTTTTGAATTGTATCAACTTAATCAAGAGGCCTTCTTTCCTTAAATTGGTGTTGAAAATTGTAAGTTTGTTTCACATATGCTGAAGTATTACATCTATCATTGATTTGGTAGGGGTGTAGGTGAGCCGTGTGCTGCAAAGTGACTTCATTTCAGTTATAATTGGACTGCTTATGATAATAATGAGCATATTGAATAAAATTGTAATTTGCATGCTACTGCAATGCAGATAATATTTCAGCAGTACATACCATCGTACCAGTAGCACATATAAAACTGTAAATGTATTTTATTGTAATAATCTTATAAGCACCCACATGTAAATGCAAAATGTAAGGTAAAATACAAATTTGTACCTCTAAACCAATAAATTATTTATATTTCAGTTACAAAAGGACAGAATCACAACAGCAGATGGTTATAATGCCTACTCAGCCTAGATTACTACAGCTTCAAAAGTCCTCAACCCCTGCCTCAATGAAAGACCTCCCAATTTCTGAGGTCAAAACACCATCAGTATCAGAAGTGTCTGGACCTGAGTCTGAAAGGTTAGTAGGAAATGATACACGCTAAAATATTTTTACTATGTTAGTATGTATAAGATAAACGCCATTGAAGTTGTATGAAAAAGTCAGAAATATAATAAACATATTAAGAAATTTTCTTTTGATTTCATTTATATTCTTATGTAAGCAATATTATACAATATTGATTATGGAAGAACCAACACATATAATAGTTGCCGGTATCATTCATGGTTGGTGTCCCTTTTTTGTTCAATAAAGTGTGTTTTATTTACTATTGTCAACAAAATGATTATTGAATGAAAGTGTCTAAACATTTCAGAGAGCAACATCATGAGCTGTCGGGGTTTGAAGAGTTAAGGCATTCAGAAGACAGCAATGGAAAAGTCTCATCTGGGTGTGTATATTTTCATTGTTTTAATTTGGGTTATTTACATTTTCTCACTGGTCAGTATCAATACATGGCATACTTGAATTCCAGTTGTATCTCAAATAAACTAACCCATTATTGGATCAGTTAAACATATAAAATTTCAATAAAAAGTGATACAGGAGAATGTGTAAAGTAAAGTATAAAATCTCTCTGTAACATATAGGGCAATTTGATATACATGTATATCAAATATGTATACAGTATGGTATTTTATTTCTCATAATTAAAATAACAATAAGGAAAAATACACCTATACAGCAGCAGATATTTTGATTTGTTTCTTATACATGTAATAAATGTTTTACATTTCATTTGTAACATTAGCAAAAGTAAATCATCAATATGAAATATTATCTCTAGTGCTCTCTTTTTTACAATTATAAACCTTACACAAAAATAAAATCATGCTCTCTATATATTCACATTCATAATGATAAAAGTGCATAGAAAACAGTTTTGTTGGCAATACAATTACTTAACAATTATGTCTGTTGAAACAAAAATGTTGTAAATATTTTTTTTTCTCTTGTTGCAGACCAAGTGGTGTACAACAGACTATTTCAAAAGCAGGCAGGCAAACTGGAGTAAAGAAATTATCTGATTCTTTCATTGACCCATTCAAGTATGTAGAAATTATACTGTTTATATATCTGATAATATTTTTAACTGTTTATGTAGTTAAGTTCCATTGTCCTTTGCTTAATGTTACTTAGCTTAAGTTTGACAATTAATTGAAGCATTTTGGTCAATTATTTGGGTATGAATTTGTCCAATTTTTAATTCTATGATTATTGTAAAATGACCAAAGCTTTACAATAGCACAGTTGTGAATTTCATATGCACATGGGGATTTTTTTGTTAAATCCATTAGTACCATTACAGATAATTTCTTCAAGTTGCATGTTACATATTATGAATGTTATAAAAATATATTAATGTATGGTTTAAATGTTAAAATTGTTGACACAAAAAGCTGATGTATACACCTATTTTTTTTATTTTAGTTTGACCATAGATATCACTACTGTTGAGGAGGAGGAAGAATCTGATGACCCAGATTATGAGCCAAGTTTTACCATAGAAGCAGTACTGTAAGTAAAGTTTATTTTAGATTACTTTGTACTAATACAGTAATAGATGAGCTTTGTGATGAAATGATGTTTGTTGTGTGGTGTGACCCACAATCTCCTGAAACATTTCCATAACCACAAATAAGATTTGCCCTCCAATTTCACATGAATAATTTTAAATGGCCTTTAAAGTAAGCACAAGTATACAACAGAAGCTTATAGTGACATCTAAATAAAGACACTGAAAACTTTCAATTAAATATAAGCACATAGCATTCCCATTTAGAACTCTATAAAGAATGAAATAATTAATCCCTGTTATACTAAACTATGAACTTCACTTTTTTACTTAGTATGGGAAAGAACTTTCATTTTAACTGCTCTTAGTGTTTGAAATTATTTTTTGTCCAATAAGATTGCTTGTTTCAAATGAATCGTAACACATTTACTTTGTTAACTCGGGAAACTTTTAACCAGTCTAGTAAATCAACTGTTCATAAAAATAATTTAATACACTAACCCAGTTAAAATTTATAAGTACACACTTACAAAATTTAATTGGTAGCGCCTGACCAATTTATTTTTGTAAATAGGTACTAATAAACTTTAACCTATACATATTATATAGTAAGAAATTTGCCATATCACATTGAAAAAGTGTTCAATTCAATAAATACTAATGTATAGTCTGATTCAAAATTCAGAAAAGGTTTTGATGCTGTTAAAGTCAATATTCAAAATATTTTTCATAAAATGCTTACCCTCGTAAGATGATAAGTATTCAAGTATGTAATTATGATTTTTAGTCCAAGAAATATAGATGAAGCTGCAGAAGATGTAGCGTATGAAGAGGCTGAATTTGGGTTTGAAATAGAAAATGGTATGATTGAAGAGGAATTGGAACTTGATGAAGATCTACCAACATTTAGCTCTATAAATAGAATTACAACACCTCAAGAATGTGAGGATTTGAGTAAATCTACAAAATGTATAGTTGAACTTGAACAATTGAAAGGCTTAGCAAGTATACATATAGAGAAATGTTCATCACTTGATTGTGCAAAATCTCTAAAGATTTCAACTGACTTTGTGGGATCTGCTTTGTATTTGAAATGGGTATGTTTCTTTTTTTTAATTAATTTATTCATACATAACTTTATTGACCTTTGCCTAAGTGAATTGTTTACTGTCACTACAATAAATAGGTCAAAAGATCAAGTTCTTTTGTCCTTAAAATGACAAAACATAAAATTTGTTATTAAATTAAATACTGTTAAAGGGGAGACCTCAAACATTGTATGCAGATTTAACATGCATATTGATGAGTTCTATCTGCTACATCATTAATCAGGTCTAGGTCATTGTACATTTAATAGTAAATGTAAGATTTTTGCCTGCCGGAAAATTAAAGAGCATTTACATGTTTACTTATAACTTTATACTTATGCTCTAAATGTTCATAACAATAAACATCTTTTTTTTCAGGTGTGTCAGAGTGGTCATGTCAGTATGTCTTGGTGTTCCCAGCCGGTTTTGAATAAGCGCCTTCACAGTGGTGATTTCCTTATCTGTGCTTCTATCCTTATGTCAGGGAATAATTATGGAAAACTAGCTCTTTGGGCAGAAATGATGCATTTAAAATTTTAAACCAGTTTAAACCAAGTAAAAATAACTTTAGATTAAAAAAATGAGCATAATGTCACTCCAACAAAGACTTTTATCAAAAGCGTTATTTAAATGAAAGTGCTATTGTAAAGTATAAATATTCCACTAAAATCAATAACGTATGTAAATCACAAATAAATGAAAACATTAAAGATGTAATGAAACAGATATTTATTCCAAGTTCCATCGATTTGCATCATAAAACTCACATTTTTGTTTCAATGCAAACCCATTTTGCTTCGGGTATAGCCAGTTTAAGTGCATAAAACTGTTAATTTAGTCGCACTTACGCATAACAGATAATTAACATCACGTAAATGGAATAACATTTTTTTACAACGATTCTTTTGAAATATATTCAGGTGCAAACACTTGAATGTATTTGTTTAAACTTATTTTGTATGCAAAATGGTATTGTAAATAAACTAAACCTTTATTGATCAGCTATATTGATAAACAAGTAAAACAGAAATCGATCGAATTATTTTCATTATACTTAATTCATGTTATATGAAACAAATCATATATGTACATATCAAAGTGTCAATTATACGCAAGACTTGTCAAGCTATTATATTTGAGACATTTGAAGCGATGCTAGTTCAAAAAATGCTCGTTAGCAATAAACCGAACAATTTCGTCACAACTGACGAGTGATGACAAGGTTAATCTGTCGGTCATATTCGCTTTGAGAAAAAACAATACCATAACATTTTATTTACAAGTTAGCGTCTGTAAGGTTTCAGTTATTAAAACAAGAAATATCATCAAAGCAATGGCAATAAACAACCATAGTTTTGTATTGTTTGTTTGTCTAGCAGCAATCAAATGCTGTTTTTCACGAAGCGAAGAATTCAACGTAAAGTACAGCATTTCGAGTATGACATTTTGTTTAAAATCTGACGATATTTTGACGACGTTGATACAAGTATCGCTATCGCAGTGTGTGGATGAATGTGCAACAAGAACAAATTGTCAGGCGGTTAACTATTTCAACCGACTTCACACATGTGAACTTATCTCGGATGATAATGGTGTCTTGCTTCAGAGTGCAAAGAAAACTCGTGGGTGTATCTTCGTTAAAAAAGCTGACATGGGTGTAAGCAAGGTATGGATTTCAAGAAAATTGTTTTTTTTAATATTTTTATGTACTTTTTCTATTATTTCATTATTATATAAATATGTAAATAATAAATCGTATACAATTACTTTATATCTTCAGGATGTTTATTTCAACTTAATAATGTACAAAAACCTTTATCAGGAATGTTGGAAAATATCTTTACATTGTGTTTCTAGATTATAGTTATTATAAATTAGTTAATTGAAAGTAATATTTTGAACACAAAAAATTGATTTTCAGACACTATTACCGTGAAATGTGTTTGTTTAGCCCATTAAACACCGACTTCAACACCAACTTGACGTCGGTCAACCGTATCTACTAAACAACTAATCAAACATAAATTTCTGAGTAAAATTTTAGAGATAAATTGTCTCGGACAATTTTTGCTACGGCCGATGATAAAACCAAAGAATCCTTGATTAACAAATCCGATGACCTGCGTATAAGCATAAGAGGAATAAATAAATACATTTTTGAGGCTTCTCGAATAATGTTTCTGAACTAATACGTTTTAAAATTCTTGAAAAATTAAATGTTTCATTTGACCCTGACCCTCCGGATCTAAACGTGTACAACATCATTTTTAATATACAAGTTATTCAAAATCCATTATTAAGTGTTTTTCCTATCCCGGTAGGTTAACGAAAACTGTTCTTGTAACCCTGGGGAGTCATGCGGTTTTGAACCCAATTTATCATGTGTGATTAAAGGTAAATATAATGTTCGCTTGTGTTTTTTTCTTCTTTTTCTTATATTGGAAGGCGGAGCATAAATTCAATTAAACTGAAAAAGTTCCCGCTAAATATATTTCGGGTGAAGATGCAACTAACATTTCTGTATGTTTTGAGTTCATGATTCCTGGTTTTAGAAAGCATATTTATTTCTAGATTGTAACTCACTTAACACCTTTTTGTAATTACTTTCGTAATCGAATTCTAAGACGTTTGTTATCATTATAAACAATTTCCAAATCAATTATGTGTGTTGACAAATACAAATGTATATCGGAAAGGTTTAGAATATGAAGAAAAGAAAATAAAATTAAAGAAATACTATTCTTCAAGCAAATAAAAACAATGGACTATTTAATTTATAACATAATAGAAAAAATGTAGATGTCTTATGATAAAGTGAAAACTTAGGTATATGCTTATATTAAGATGATCATATTAGACGATTAATGTCTATTTCGTACGCAGATGTATATGCTTCAAGTATTTTTAACTTGTATATGATTGAACTCTCTTTCTTATGTGACAGAATGCGAAAGATTAACAATAGAAAATGGCATAGTAAATGGAAATATGCGGTCAATAGGGGCTTCAATAACATACGAATGCAACCAAATGTACATTGCAACATTTCAAGCACCAGGGGCGACTTGTCTTGCAAATGGGACATGGTCATACACACCCGATTGTATAAAAGGTTTTCACTTTAATTTTTCACGTATACATGTTTTTATGAGAGCATTCAACAGAAGTGCGCGCAAGCCACAAAGTCACTCTACTGCGTGAACCTAGATATTTTTGTTGGGTTTATAGTCGCACCAACGCATTATAGGTCATATGGCGACTTACCACCTGTACTGATGGAGGACGACCTCAGGTGCCCCTCTCTGAATTTTTTCAGGCACAAACGGGCACCCCGATAGAAGCACCGAAGTTCCTTAAGATAGCTGGATAGCTTTCTCAAATGAAAGAATCCGGACACGCTGACGCGGCTCAAACCTACAGCGGTGATATGCAAGTGTTTTAAAGTAAACGACTTTAACCACTCGGACCAAAATGATAAAACCTTGTTTAGCGTTTGGTTTTACAAACATTTACTGCTATAAATCATAATCACAGGACGTTGATGTTTATATTAAAGTATTACTTCCAACAACTTTTCAATTTGAATAAAGAAAGGAAAATGTCTTGATTTTAGATCATTGTCTTTTACTCTATTTATTTTAAGCCCCTTTTTCATAATGTCAGCTTAATCACTATATCAATTAAGGTCGCTTGAATCGTTGTCTAACAGTTGTAACAATATTGCATCAAGCTTTGCACTCATTCAAAGGCACAACAACATGATTTTCTTTGTGTTGCTTTTTTAGATACTAAAGGAAAACGCACCTGCACAGGTTGCATACGCCCGAGAGATTGTCGAGACATACAAACTATAAACAAGACAGCAGAGACAGGGCTGTTTGAGATTTATCCAACAGGAAGCGATGGTTTTAGCGTTCGCTGTGACATGGACACGCCACCTGGTGGCTGGACGGTTATTCAACGAAGACAATCAAATAGCAGTTTCTTCAAGAACTGGGAAGCATATAAGGAAGGGTTTGGAAAGTTAGATAACAATTTTTGGTTAGGGAACGATAAAATATGGAAACTTACAAGCAGAGGTCAGTACAAACTACGAGTTGATCTTATAGATCAAAATGGCTCGGAGGGATATGCAGAATACAGTTCATTTTCTATTGGAAATGAGTCGGCGAAATATATTTTGAATATCGCTGGGCATAGCGGAACAGCCACAGACAGTTTGGTTGAGAGACATAACGGAATGGTGTTCAGCACTTTTGACCGACATCATGATACTTCTAATCATCACGATTGTGCAGAATATTATAAAGGAGGTTGGTGGTATTGCGACTGTCAGTCATCTAATTTAAACGGACCATATGGGAACGTTGCTTGTAATCGCGGAATGACTTGGAAAGATTGGAGGAATGAATGTGTCTTTATGAGATTTACTGAAATGAAAATACGCCGGACAGAGTAATACTTTTTTAAACAAGCTTCGAAAATATTGTATAACTGCGAGTGTGCGCACGTGTACAAGTGTAATTGTTCAACACTTTAAATAAAAACGAGTTTGCAATATTTTCATTTCGAGCTTTTCTTTAGGAATTCCTTTTTCCTCCTTTTTTAGCGCGTGAATGTCCTCTTTTGACTTGTTTAGTGTTGACCCTAAGCTTATCTATTCCGGTTTAATAAAGAGAGGTAACACATGACTTTTTGATATTTAAATCTTATAAAAGTCTTTGAAATGTATCAAAAGATAATGATAAGGGAATCATTGTAAGATGAAGTTTCGCTTATTATATACAAAACTTCAAATATTCATTTCCTTATATATATTTCGACGGACCGTTAACAAATTTCTGTGCAACTTCGCTCAAACGTCACCAGAACTGCCGACAAAAACAAACTGCCTCAAATACCAGACTTCAAGTTTTCTATTAAGGATTATGGACCATAGTGGAATATTAAACATCCGTTAATGTCGGATACTGTCGTTATATCCCAAACAATTATCTCTTTCTTTCAGTTTTCGGATACCTCTAAAAGAATTGGCCAAACAAGAGTTTATGTATATTTTTTACGGCACTACAAATCAAGATTATTTCATTGTCTCAAATGACAATACATGAATGGGCAAATATCAATGTTCAATAAAATTTTCTGAGAATGACGTCCTCATACGAAAGTGTCACTATCTTATGTTTTACCTGAAACTAAAAATAGCTTTTAAACCGATGAAGATTTTGGTGAACCAAACAGTGAGTAGGAGTTACACTATTTTGGATACAGTTTTTGTACATGTGTAATCCGTTTTTCACCGCCCTAAAAATGATAAAGCGCAGATGAAAATGTTACAGTGAGTTTACAAATTATGAAGAATTAGAGTAAATAGTAATTCGTTTTCATAAGATAACTGCACGACACTTAAAACATTATAAAAGATATACTATGCCCATCATTAAGTAAAACATTTGACTCACAGAGATTCATTGAAATCTATGAAATTCTTACTGAATATGTCTTATTTGAATAAAAGAATGAATATAGTATGTATGGGCAGCTGCATTTCTTATTATGTGACAAGGACAATTGGTCTTTCCTTAAAAAAAACTGCCAGTTTTTTTTAATGACACTATATATTCATATTGTGACCACCTATGGTGTGTAGAATTTTAGACATAATAAATCTACTTTGTGTGAAATCAAAACATGTTTATTTTATATTTACAAAGAGACTGTGAAGCAATTATAAATATCTTTTAATATCAAAGTTGGCCATAGTGTATCTCAAAACTGTTTTTTCCAGCATTCTGAGATATATAGATATGTGCCACTTTTTAACAGCAGAATATAAATTGCGGCCCGACAGTTTTCAAGTGGAATCGCAATTTTTTTCCGGTGATTGAGTGCAAATGTTTAATTGCACCGACACTGTCATAGCCAAATTTACGGAAGCGTCCTGGTGCCAATTTTACATGTTCTATAAAAAATGCAACTCCTACGTAGGACTTTATTACTCCTACGTAGGAGATAAAAAAGCCTAATTAGGAGTTTATAACTCCTACGTAGGAGTTTGTAAGTCCTACGTAGGACTGTATTAGTCATACGTAGGACTTTATAACTCCTACGTAGGAGATATAAAAACCTAATTATATCCTAATTATAACCTAATTAGGCTTTTTTAACCTTATAAAGTCCTACGTAGAAGTTATAAACTCCTAATAAGGCTTTTTTTATATCTCCTACGTAAGAGTTATAAAGTCCTACGTAGGAGTTGCAAAGTCCTACTAAGGAGTTATCTTTTTTTCTAGAACATGTTAAATTGGCACCAGGACGCTTCCGTACACATTTCAAATTTCCGACTTTACAGGGGCATCTGATTTTAGTCAACATTTTCGTTACAAACTATTTTCAAACATCACACTTAGGTGGACATTGGATTTACTTACAAAATCGTATTATATAGTTTTGTTTTAGAGTTCCCGCTCGTGATATGACATACGCTAATAACACGTGGTTAATGCAATATTTAGCAATACATACATACGCATAACTATTATACTATGCCATTCAAGCGTATTTGAAACAAGAAGACTATATTGCTCAGCTAAACTAATTTAAAGCATTTATTAATAAAAAATAAGGCACATAAAAGAGGCCATTGATTGTTTACAGTAGAGCTAGCAGTTTACGGAACATATTGCGTTATGCGTACTGCATTTTAGAAATTAACATTATATATAAAGAAGGTTTTTACGACATGTATGACAAACATAGAATGAAAAAACAAAACAAACAAAATACAATCATTTTAAAAGAAAGAGTTACAAAATGCATTCGAAGTAGACTATTCTTTTAATTAGCAATTAATAAATAAATCGTAAATTAAATATCTTAAAAAATAAAATAAGAGTTTTGACCAAAATACTGCTTAATACTGAAAAAATACCCATATTACTAAACGCTTACATTTTACGTTGAAATGGCTTATACATACATACATGCATGCATGCATGCATGCATGCATGCATGCATGCATGCATACATACATACATACATACATACATACATACATACATACATACATACATACATACATACATACATACATACATGCCTGCCTGCCTCCTACCTATCTACCTGCCGACGACCGACCGACCGACCTACCTACCTACCTACCTACCTATCGACCTTTGACCCAAATGGCCATTTACTGAACCCAAAGTAAGACGACCTTCTTAGGCACGTCCGTATTAAATATGAAAGACATCAATTTAAAATTAGAGCGATATGAGCAGAAATGTTGAAATTTATTTTTTACACCAATGACAATGAGCGCAGTGACCCCTTCTCCACAAAATGTTAGAGGACCATTGAGGGTATCCATCTACCAAATATGTCATTGATTTAATGAAGTAGTTAGAAGAAATTCAAGATAAATCCAACTTGCCGGAATAGGTTAATTACACAATGCCCAATTCCAAAGTGATAAAAAGGGAAATCACTGGGATTGTGGATGGCACAGTTTTATAACTTGGCAATATCATGCACTTTGTATTGGTTTGTAAGTGTGGAAATAATGAAGCCATCAGTATAAACAGAACTTAAGATATAACCAACTTGCCGGATAAGGATATCCATAATCATTTTCTAAAAGTTGAAAAGGGCAATAACTTGGAAAAATGGAAGCCATAGTTATGTAACTTGCCCAGATCATGAAATTTGAATTGTTAGTAAGTGTGTAAATTATGAAATGCTTGGTACAGGTAGAACTTAAGAAAATCAATATATGCTGTTTTAGGTTAAACTAATACGGACGGGGAGATGGATATATGGACGGTTCAATTACTATATGGGGCATAAAAATGAATAGCAGAAAGGATACACCTTAAGTGAAATATTTAAAATTTAATGCTTTTAAAAGTTTGACAATTTATTTTACAATAACTACTAGTACATTCCATAAAAGAACGATAACATAGATAACATGCTACATCAGCAGTATCTACACAATTGAATAAGATCTTTACTATTTGTATTACTATATTTTCTTTCTTTTTGAACATGTTAGAGTAGAAATATAAAATATTTTTCAGTGCGTTGCCTTTTAATTATGCGCGATTTGTCTTCCTATCTAGTTTGTTAATTTTGTTTAGTACGTATGTAAGAACAGAAACAACTGTTTGTTGAAGTACTATCATTTGCTTCCCGGGCGAATTGAATCAGGTAAAATTTTTGAGGCCTTTTAATATTACTATGCTGTCTTTGTACCAGGCCTCCACATGCTGCACCTTTTCGATACAATTATTGAAGTTTGTTTTAAAAGAATACTGTCATAAAATAGAAATTTTAAGAAACGAGATTTTCAAATTCAAACACACAGTGCGTGACATTAACAAGAGCCACCGCCGGGCGGGGGCAACGCTCGACTTTTTACTTTTTCTAAACGCAAACATAGAAAGGTTTGAACATATATTAACGTTTCCTTTTTATAAATTTAATTTGTCTGTCTTGTCACATTAGTTTTCTTTATATATTTTGTATATATATGAATAGAAACATTAAGCATATTTCTAAAAATAGCAACAGTACGCAATTTCTTAAAATAGCAACATGACGCAATTTCTCAATATAGAAAAAATGACGCAATTTCTAAAAATACAAAAAATGACATAATTTCTAAAAATAAAAAAGTGATGCAATTTCTAAAAATAGCAACAATGATGCAATTTCTAAAAATAGAAAAATTGACGCAATTTCTAAAAATAGAAAAAATGAAGCAATTTCTAAAAAAAGAAAAAAATGACGCAATTTCTAGATATACTAAAATAGAAATTATGACGCAATATCTAAAAATAGAAATTATGACGCAATTTCTAAAAGTAGAAAAAATGACGCAATTTCTAAAAATAGCACCAATGACGCAATTTCTAAAATAGAAATTATGACGCAATTTCTAAAAATAGAAATTATGACGCAATTTCTAAAAAATGACGCAATTTCTAAAAATAGCAACAATGACGCAATTTCTAAAAATAGAAAAAATGACGCAATTTCTAAAAATAGAAATTATGACGCAATTTCTAAAAATAGAAAAAATGACGCAATTTTCTAAAAATAGAAAAAATGACGCAATTTCTAAAAATAGAAATTATGACGCAATTTCTAAAAATAGAAAAAATGACGCAATTTCTAAAAATAGCACCAATGACGCAATTTCTAAAAATAGAAATTATGACGCAATTTCTAAAAATAGAAAAAAATGACGCAATTTCTAAAAAGAAAAAAAATGACGCAATTTCTAAAAATAGAAACAATGACGCAATTTCTATAAATAGAAATTATGACACAATTTCTAAAAATAGAAAAAATGACACAATCTCTAAAATTAGAAACAATGACGCATTTTCTAAAAATAGCAACAATGACGCAAATTCTAAAAATAGCACCAATGATGCAATTTCTAAAAACAGAAATTATGACGCAATTTCTAAAAATAGCAAAAATGATGCAATCTCTAAAAATACTAAAAATAGAAATTATGACGCAATTTCTAAAAATAGAAAAAATGACGCAATATCTAAAAATAGCACCAATGACGCAATTTCTAAAAATAGAAATTTACGACGCAATTTATAAAAATAGAAATTATGACACAGTTTCTGAAATAGCACCAATGATGCAATTTCTAAAAATAGAAATTATGACGCAATTTCTAAAAAATAGAAAAAATGATGCAATCTCTAAAAATACTAAAAATAGAAATTATGACGCAATTTCTAAAAAATAGAAAAAATGACGCAATATCTAAAAATAGCACCAATGACGCAATTTCTAAAAATAGAAATTATGACGCAATTTCTAAAAATAGAAATTATGACACAATTTCTAAAAATAGAAAAAATGATGCAATCTCTAAAAATACTAAAAATAGAAATTATGACGCAATATCTAAAAATAGAAAAAAAATGATGCAATTTCTAAAAATAGAAATTATGATGCAATTTCTAAAAATAGAAAAAATGTTGCAATCTCTAAAAATAGAAACAATGACGCATTTCTATAAAAAAACCCCAAAAAAACAATGACCCAATTTCTCTAAATAGAAACAATGACGCAATTCTATAAATAGAAACAATGACGCAATTCTATAAATAGAAACAATGACACAATTTTAGTTATTGTTGTTGTTGTTGTAAATATATATATATAGACACACACACACCAATAAATATTTAAATATGGTCATTTACTGCACAAATCTGAGAAAATTCAGTAATTTAACCTTCAAGGTCAAGGTCATTTAAGAGCCCAAGCAAAGTTGGGTTTGATAAAAAACAAGGTCTGGTCCTTAAGAATGTTCTCTAATAATATGAAGTTGATCCTTTCAATAATAGCAAAGTTACAGTCAGTGACCGCCAAAACAATGAAAATTTCAATAATTTGACCTTCAAAGACAATGTCATTAATGTGTGAAGGTCAAGGTCTTCCGGTATATCTTTAACAGTAATCTTTGAAGATTATTATGTTCAAGTTTCAGGACAATCCATTCAAAAATAACAAACTTACAGCCAATAAAAGCCAAAAAAATGAAAATTTCAATAATTTGACCTTCAAAGTCAAGGTCATTTATGAGTGAAGGTCAAGGTCTGGCTGGTTATTTTTAAGGGATATCCTTAAAGATTATTATGTTCAAGTTTGAAGACAATCCATTCAAAAATAACAAAGTTACAGCCAATAACAGCATGAACAAGCAAAAATTGGACTTTTAACCTTGAAGGTCAAGGTCATTTATGGATGAAGGTCAAGGTTAGTGTGGTCTACTGAAAGGTCTTGTCCCAAGGGTTGTTGTGGCCAAGTATGAAGACAATACACAAAGAAAATAAAAAAGTTATGATCCAGGTACAAGTTTTCGGACGGCAACGGCAACGGCAACGGCAACGCCGACCTGACTGTAGCAATACCTCTATTTTTTTTTCAAAAAAAAAAGTCGAGCTAAAAATGTCCATCCTACTTCCGACGAATTTTCATTTCAGTAAATTTCATGAAGACATTTGGTTGTCTCCAATCTTTCCACGTCATTCCACGATTATTCACGACGTCTCCATATGGTCCGTTTAAGTTCGAAGACTGGCAGTTGCAATACCACCAACCCCCTTTAAAACGACCCGCACAATTACGGGGATAGATGTCGTTGTCTTGGTCGATAGTACTGAACATCATTCCGTTATGCCTCCCAACTAAACTGTCTGTAGCAGTTCCACTATGCCCCGCGATATTCAAGACATATTTTGTCGACTCATTTCCGATTGAAAATGAACTGTATTCCGCATATCCCTCTGAGCCATTTTGATCTATGAGATCAACTCGTAGTTTGTACTGACCACTGTGTGTAAGTTTCCATATTTTATCATTCCCTAACCAGAAATTGTCATTCAATTGTCCAAACCCTTCCTTATATGTTTTCCAGTCCTTTTGGAAATCGCTATTTGATTCTCTTCGTTGAAACACTGTCCAGCCGCCAGGTAGCGTGTCCATGTCACAGCGAACGATTAAACCATCGCTTCCTGTTGGATAAATCTCAAACACCCCTGTTTCCGCTGTCTCGTTTATAGTTTTTATGTCTTGACAATCTCTCGGGAGTATACAACCGTCGCAAATGCTATTATCATCAGCATCTGAAGATTGCAAATGAAAATTAATTGTAAACGTGTAAATATGTTATGCTATTTACTATGATATACGAAAAATGATTTAATTGTACTATATGTAGTATTATATATTATGCCTCAGAAATGCATATTTCTTTTAATTCTTTAGAAATATCAAACATGGGTTAAATAATGTTTAAATAATAAGATGTTTTTCAAAATAAAAAGAAGTACTGAACATGCAGTTTTATGGCATAAAGGTAACAAAGTAGTACTTAGATGTCCATGCTAAATACTTATTAACTAAGATTATACCAATTGCAAACAGGGATAAGATGCAAAAGATAGTTCATGCATATAGCAGATGAGTATATTTTTGAAGTGGGATGAGTTTATGCTTGTGTATGAATGACGATGCTGACCCGGAACCGCTTATAAATGTTTTAAAAAATATAAGCTACACTCGGAGATTTTATCGTACTTGTATCGATTTTATTATAATCAATCATTTAAACATATATATACACAAACATAAAAACCTGCTTCACAATCGAGTTTGTGAGACCATGTTCCGTTCGCAAGACAAGTCGCTCCTAGAGCCTGAAAAGTTGGAATGTACATTTGGCTGCATTCGAATGTTACAGAAGCTCCTATGCACCGCATATTTCCATTTACTCTGCCGTTTCGTAGGGTAAAACTCTTACACTCTGTTGAAAGAAAAATTTGAGTCCATTTAGAAAATAATCACTTAAATGATATACATGTATAGGTTTGACCTAAATTGTAAAATTAATAATGTGATAATAGTTATCAAGATGATTAAATTTGTTTATTTTATTATGTTCATTTATTATTTGGGAAAAATGTATGTATATTTTTGTTCAATTTCTATTATAAATCATTTCATATAATTATTTGGACTCTGGCGAAAATATACAAATATACTCTCATCGTAAATTGTTTTCTTTCTTATACATGTGTATACTAATATACATGGGTACATGTTCATGGACATGTGTTGTATCCTCTGCTTGTAGAATCTTAAGATTCTTTTCCTTGAAATATATAAATAGAAGGACAAGCATTTTCATGATTGTCATATCTAAAAACATCAAGCTTCCATAAACTAGAGCAGTTTTTACCATGAGCACTCTCAAAAATCAATGAAACTGTAAGTCATTTCTTTTTCTTTTTTTATTTTGTTCATTTTAGCATTATTTAAACTTTATTTAAGATTATTTCGCCTGAATGTTATATTTGGTCTAGATGATTTTAAAAATGATAATTATATTCATGCCTACTTTCCCTGTTTTGCCTTTAGCAAACAACATTGTCAAATTATGTTTATGAACAAAAACTAAGGTTCTAATTTGAATATAGAAAAATGAAAATGATGGCAAAAAAGGACATTTTCTATGTTTGCAAACTGTTAAGCGCTTGATTCATATTTGACAAAGATCATATTAAGTTAAACGTTTACTTATCCCATCCTTTTTCATCTCTTAAAAGGTTTCTGAAACTGTAACTTTACTAGAAATTCAGATATACAGATAAAAGAAAAATTTTCCATTAAATTTATTAAATAATTTGAATTTATTTTGAATTATACTTACTTAAACAATGCGTTTCCATATTTCCTTCCCAACTAAATCAATAAAATTTTGATATTAACATGCATTATTCATTTGCTTGTGTTCGTTGATTCAAAACATGAAAACTGCTTTCGAGATGTGTTGTTTCCGAGTTTATTCCGACGTTAATATTTTGTTTGAACATATTGTTTGAATTATAAACAATTTATAATAAATGAGATATCAAATGGACATTGACTGCATAAAATATTTAGCGTTTTCTGTATGTTCATTTTCTCGCTTTACATGAACAATAATTGAACAACAATGTTTATGCGAATATGGAAACGCGTTATTGAAATGAATTTATTATTAATAATAAATTACTTTCTGACTTATCTATTGGTAATGACGTGCTACAAAACACGGTGCGTGCATTCTTGCATATCAGACTGGCGTTTCCGTTAGTTCTACCCATGAGATATGGAGGGATGAGTCGCGTGATACACAATGGCTTGCTTAGGAAGACGTAAATATACCGTTATGAATGAATCTGTAATTTTATATGCTGTTGTAAGAGAATAGTTACGGATGTAATAACATGTTACAGTAAAGAATTTAAAATATAATAGAATATGGTAGAATATTCAAAAAGAAATATCTGATATATGTTTGCGGTTCGGATCAAAATATCCATCCCTGGTGAACCCGCCCATAGATGGTAACAAGGCAATCCCTCGGGACGGATATTCCGATCCAAACCGCAACATATGACAAATATTATTAATGTGAATATTATAATGTTATTATATATAATATACATAGTTTGATGAAGAAATAAATTATTCCCTCATTGAAAAGATAAATAATTTATCATAAAATCTAACACATACCACTATTCCCTTTGTGACTGAAGGGTTGCCGCCAAGTTTGAGGCATAATAATTGCAGCCATAGACACACATAACAAACACATACCACTATTCCCTTGTGGCTTAGGGGTTGCCGTCAAGTTTGAGGCATAAGAATTGCAGCCATAGACACACCTAACAAACACATACCACTATTCCCTTGTGGCTGAGGGGTTGCCGTCAAGTTTGAGGCATAATGATTGCAGCCATAGACACACCTAACAAACACATACCACTAGGTGGTAGCTTAATTGAACTATATCAATACTCTTATGAAGTAATGGTAGTTAAATTGCGAGACAACATTTAAAAAAAATTTTTTTTCAGAATCCCAACTAGATATTTGACATTATACAAAACAAATAAGAAACGGTTAAATAACTATACTTTCATTGAAAGATTATCATATTTTACAGTCTACCTATGCGATCAAACGCAAGCATAAATATCAGTATCCAAGCTTGTCTAACTAGTAATCCAAAGATTGCTGAACGCGGGAGCTTAAATCCCGTCGGGGGCAATCCCATGGGAAAGAAACGCAGCACTGGCTAGCTATATGTGTATAGGTTTTCCTACACAATTGCACAAAAAACACTCTAACAATAATCGTAAAAAATATTATAAAAATCCATCCCTTGAGTTGGAAACAAATAACAATCTGTTTATGTATCTGCACATTCCATTTATCTAAATTATACTAGAAAGAAGAAGTCTTTTTCGATACAATAGTTTCATGAAAGTACTATAAAACGTTTGAGCAGTAACGAATGGTAACATTACCTGTATTGTGTTGGTGTTGTTTAATAAAATGTACACATACCGTTGGTTTGGAACCACATCCATCCTAAGTTAAGAAATCAAAATTTACCTTTAATTGTACATGAAGCATCGGGCTCAACATTACAAGTCTCTGCAGTGTCACAGGTACACTTGTCATTTATCTAGAAGTAAGAAATTATCACTCAACAATAAATCTTGATAAACCTTTACCACTATTTAACACACATAATTACATGAATTATCTGAAATGAATGGCGTATGGACGTGCTGAACAAATTGGTGGGCAGACATTTACATTAAAACTTTGACTTAAGCGTTTCGGAATAAAAATCTTGCGAAAAAGTGATCCCTTAGAAGCATTAATCACAACAAAATTACACATTACATGAAAATTGCAGACAATATTTGATTGAGTCTGTATGTATGGGATAATGAAAATGTGATACACCCCATACGCCCCAAGCACTGGCTTATATACCTAGATGTATAATTATACCATTATCCATCATCTTTGTCAGAATATTATTTTATTGTCTTTTTTGTTGTGCCGTCAGTTTTGCTGCTGTTTTTTAAGTAAACGGTCACAACAGACGTAAATGTATGTTTAAGTATTATTTAAGCATACTATTTTAATATTTTATATATTTTTTAAATCAGTTATCATTAATTAGTTTATTCAAACATAAAAACCAAATCAGCTATATGAGATATTTGTTAAAAATGAAAAATATATTGAAATTAACAAATTAATTTATGTAAATAAATCTGTTATCTGTCATTTTGATAATTATGCATTTGATTCAATAGATTCAAGTGTAAAAAGAAAAATCTATCATTTATTTATTTGAAAGCACCACAACATTCCATAAGAGCGAGCGATTTTTTAAAAGGTCATACTTCGATTACATCCATGTCAGTCTTTTTAACGAAAACACATGCATGATTTTTCCTGGCATTTTCAAATAGCTCCTCATCATCGTCCGGGATAAGTTCACATGTGTGAAGTCGGTTGAAATAGTTAACAGCCTTACAATCTGTTCTTGTTGCACATTCATCCACACACTGCGATAGCGATACTTGTATCAACGTCGTCAAAATATCGTCAGATTTTAAACAAAATTTCATACTCGAAATTTTGAACTTAACTTTTAGTCCTTCACTATCGAAAAAGGTTAATGTAATAGTAACAAACGAAACACATAATACAGAAAAAGTTTTGATCGTTTTGTAGAATCCCATTTCAGCGGCACGGTTTCTTACGTAAGTTAATGTACTTGTAGCTTGCTGTACTAAACCAAAATATTGTTTGCTGATGCCAAAAAGCGTGTATTGAACCGACCGAAAAATGAACAATAATTGGCTTAAAAATAACGACACTGTTGAGTACATTCAATAAGCCTGTCTTGAAACTGAATCGTTTCAATAGTTTATATTTTAAATAACATGTGACCTTTCAATATTTAATGTTTCCATTATTAGCCACGTTAGTCAAGTAATAATGTTTATATGAATAAAACATAGAACGAACAAAGATGCATTAGGGACAGTGAATGAAATTTCATTGTTCTGATTAGACCATACCCTAGGTACCATGACATATCATGTTTGAAATTGTAATATGAAAGCATTTGTTATCCTTACAAACTTTTTAAAAAATGATTTATGTTTATATGTATCTGCAGTTTCTAAAATATGTCATTAATAGCTTTTTATGAAAGAAGAAGTATGCAATTTAAAGGCGAGTATACCTTTTAATTTAAAACTTTACCTCATATATACGCAAATCAACGCACTTTCGACCACCTTTGAGGCCTCAGATAGTAAAACATGTAATTTTTAGGTCCGAAACACTTGTTTTCGTTTGAGAAATGTTGTTAAAAAAGTGATCACTTTTTTCGGCGCCGCCCCTCTATCGAAAAGATACGTCAGGGGAACCAGAGAGAATGTGTGTGCCCTCTTCTGTTTAGGGTCTGAAGAGGGCATTCGCCCCTTTCAACACCAAGAATTATATTTTGGACTTGTGAGAGGCTAAAGTAGCCTCACGTCGATCTTAAGATAAGTTGTAACAAACACTGAAGAACTTTGACTCTATCCCAATCCTTTGAGAAGTTGCAGCACTTTAAAATCAGTTTAAAAAGAAAATAAATCTATGCAAAATGATTTTTTGCAAGTTTAAGATAGTCCCTCGTTGCCATGATAACAAGAAATATAGGATTAAGCATGTCGTTATAATGACTATGGTCCAGTTAACATTTGTGCTAAGTTTAATCAGCAATAAAGCATTTTTGTATAGTTTTATAGCAATTTGAAATTGTAACAGGAGGCTTCTCAATGAAAAATGTCATTTTCAACAAACGCTCATGAAGTAATTGGTTAAGTTGCTAAAATTATGAGTTTTTTTTGCAAAGTACTCCTCCGATGCATGATATTTGTGACTTTTTAGGCTTGTGCATAATAGGGTGGCACAGAGTTGACATTTGTGCGTTTTTATTTATCTTGTGCGCACGTGATACTATGTTGTTGCAGCAAGTTATTAATTCGTGAGCACGAGATTATTAGGTGGTGCGAACGAGATACTTTGTCGTGGCCACGAGCTACTAAGTCGTGGGAACGAGATAATTAAGTCGTGCGCACGAGAAACTATGCCATGACCTTGAGTTACTTAGTCGTAAGAACGAAATAATTAATTGTTGCACACGGGATTATGTGTCATGGGCACTAGCTACTGAGTCGTGGGCACGAGTTACTTAGTCGTACGCACAAGATATTCAAGTTTCTTTTCACGGGATACTTTGTCTTGCCCACGAGTAACAAAGTCGTTGGAACGAGATACTAAATTGTACGCACGAGATACTATGTCGTGGCAACAAGTTACTAAGTCGTGGGAACGAGAAAATTAAATGGTTCTCAAGAGAATATATGTCGAGTACCTGAGTTGTTGGAACGAGATGATTAAGATATGCGCACGAGATAATTAAAACTTAGATTACACTCTATATATGATTTTTCCTAGTTAACTTGAAATGTGCCATAGGACAATGCTGCCCCTACTTCATCTGCATGTTATTTTGCCATACATAAAAGTTATTGTTTGGACAATGATTTAATATTCAGTATCATTTTAAACCTGATTTGTGACCCAATGCCTTCAAAATTTTTAGTTGTACTGATCAAGTGCAATGTACTAACTAGGTTATATAAATTATAGCTTATTTCTTCTCAAGTTATTCTTTGTTTCTTTTTTGTTTTTGGGTTTTACGTCACATCGACACAGTATAGGTCATATCGCGACGATTCAGCTTTACTGGTGGAGAAAGACCTCAGGTGCCCTTCCGTGCATTATTTCAGGCACGAACGGGCACCTGAGTAGAACCATCGACGTTCCATAAGCTAGCTGGATAGCTTCCTCACATAAAAGATTCCAAAGTCCCTGTCAGGATTCGAACCCACAGCGGTGAGGTGCAAGTGATTTGAAGTCAACGACATTAACCACTCGGCCACGGACGTCCCTCTCAAGTTATTTATCAGACAATGATTTTACATGAAGTGTCACAGTTACATTGATTTTGACCTATGACCTCAAACATTAATGTAGGCCATCTACTGACCATGGGCAATGTCCCTACCAAATAAAATAAACCAGGGCTAATTCCTTTGTATGAACCATGTTAACAGGCCGTTAGTACTTTCAATCTGATCAAACCTATCAGAGGATGGTCTCAACAAACTAAGTCAAAATTAAAGTCTGATCTATGGGCCTTGGATAGTGATCTCCTAATATGACCCTGAAGACACGCATTAAGCTTAAAGTATCGCGTACGTACCATTTAATTATCTCATACGTACGAATTAAAACTTGTGACCACGACATTGTATCTCGTGCACACCACATAAATATCTCGGTACCACGACTTAGTTACTAGTGACCACGTCATAATATCTCGTGTGCACCACTTGATTATCTCTTGCACACGAGACTTAGTTACTCGTCGTTCAGGCTAAGTATATCGTGGGCACTACTTAATTATCTCGTTCCCCCGATTTAGTAACTTGTGGCCACGACATAGTATATCGAACGCACCAATTAGTAAATCGTGACCGCGACATAGTATCTCGTGTGCATCACTTAATTATCTCGTTCCTACGACTAACATTTTATCTCATGTGTACCACTTTATTAATTTGTGCGCACAAAATAGTAACTCGTAGCCAAGATATAGTTACTCTTGCGCACAACTTAAATATCTCGTGCGCAAGACTAAGTATCCCGTGGCCGCGAGATAGATAAAAACACACAAGCAAACGCAAAAGTGTTACGGACAGACAGACGAACGGACGGACTGACTGACAGACGCAGGCCATACCTATGATCCCCTCCCCGCTTTGCGGAAGGGAATAAAAAATTAATTGCAGAAATGATACAACTCCAGTAAAAGTTAAAAATACCCTCTCCGTTTTGTAGAAGGAGATTAAATATTAATAGCAGAAAGGATACAACGCCAGTGAAAGTTAAAAATACCCTCTCCGCTTTGTAGAAGGACATTAAATATTAATAGTGGAAAGGATACAACGCCAGTATAAGTTAAAAATACCCTCTCTGCTTTGTAGAAGGAGATTAAATATTAATAGCGGAAAGGATACAACGCCAGTATAAGTTAAAAATACCCTCTACGCTTTGTAGAAGGAGATAAAATATTAATAGCAGAAAGGATACAACTCCAGTAAAAATTAAAAATAAAACCCTCTCCGCTTTGTAGAAGATTTAATATTTATAGCAGAAATGATACAACGCCAGTGTAAGTTAAAAATACCCTCTCCGCTTTGTAGAAGGAGATTAAATATAAATAGCAGAAAGGATACAACGCCAGTTAAAGTTAAAAAGAATAAATTTAAGATTGAATGCAATTAAAGGTTTGATGATCTACTTAACAATAAATACTATAATATAGTAAGTATTTAATCCAGAAAAGAAAGGTGACATAGATACATATATAACATTCTACAATAGCATTATGTATAAAATTGAATAAGATCTTTAGTGTATTTTGTATTACTTTAATTTATATCTTTTGAACATGCTATTATGGAAATATAAATGATTATTTAGTGCATCGTCTTTTAATAATGCGCGGTTTGTCTGTCCTTATTGTTTGTTTATCTTGCTTAATAAGTATGTTAGAATACAAACAACATTTGAATGAAGTACTTTATCATTTGCTGCCCGGATGAATTGGTTAAGGTAAGAAAATTAAGAATTTATAACAATGCTTTCTTTGTATCAGGCCTTATCATGCCATGCTGCACCTTTTCCATACACTTATTAAAGTTTTATTTAAAGAAATAGAAGCTTTAATAACTTAATTTTCAAATTTAAACACACAATGCTTGACAGTTAAAAATGTCCATCCTACTTCCGACGTATTTTCATTTCAGTAAATTTCATAAAGACACATTGATGTCTCCATTTTTTCCACGTCATTCCGTGATTACAATCGCCATCCCCATATGGTCCGTTTAAATTCGATGTCTGACAGCCACGATACCACCAACCTCCTTCAAATCTTTTCGCACAATTACCAGTTACTTTGTCGTTGTCTTGGTCAAATGTGCTGAACATCATTCCGTCATGTTTCTCAACTAAACTGTCCGATGCTGTTCCATTATGCCCCGCGATATTCAAGACATATTTTGTCGCCTCATTTCCGATTGAAAATGAACTGTATTCCGCATATCCCTCTAAGCCTTCCTGATCTATGAGATCAACTCGTAGTTTGTACTGACCACTGCTTGTAAGTTTCGATATCTTATCATTCCCTAACCAAAAATTATTAGCCAACTGACCAAACCCTTCCTTATATGCCTCCCAGTTTTGTAGGAAATCGCTATTTGATTCTCTGTGCTGAAACACAGTCCACCCGCCAGGTGGCGTGTCCATGTCACAACGAACCATGAAGCCATCGCTTCCCGTTGGATAAATTTTAAACACCCCAGTTTCTGCTGCCTTGTTTATAGTTTGTATATCCTGACAATCTCCCGGAAGAAATGTACAACAAGTTCTATTATCATCAGCATCTGAAAACAATATGACATTTATCAATTGTGAACGTGTGAATATTGTAATATGCTAAGTTTTAACAACAATGACACACTGTGAAAAATGTGCTTGTTTAACAAAACAACAAAACAAACAAACTGCATTATATCTACGAAATAGAGGATCTTCAATGATATGCAAAAATGTTTAAAGGTAAGGTAATTATACATGAAGGCACATTTTTACTTGTTTGTGAAAACATTTTTCACAAATTATGAAAAAGAAAAGAAACATTGATTGACGTGTTGAAGTGAAGTTTATGCCTCTGTATGAATGTCGCTGCAGACGCTTATCAAATTATCAAGCAGTTTTATCTAAATTCTTTCTGAATTTTTTACGGCCGTCTAACACATTCATATGTATAGGTAGTTATTTCAAACATATAGTACATAAAACTAAACCTTCTTCACAATCTAGTTTGTGAGACCATGTTCCGTTTGCCAGACAAGTCGCTCCTGTTGCCTGAAATGTTGCAATGTACATTTGGTTGCATCCGAATGTTACAGAGGCTCCTATGGACCGCATATTTCTATTTACTCTGCCATTACGTATTCTTAAACTCTTACACTCTGTTGAAAGAAAATTTTAAGTCCATATAAACGAAAAAAAAACAACTCACTAATAATAAATAATATACAAGAATACGTTTATAAATTTGACCTTAATAGTTAATTTGCTAAAGTGACAACAGTTATTACCATTAAACTTTTATATTTATTATGATCTTTTATTATTTAGGAATCTTGCATTATAGTTATTTTTGTCATATTTCTATTTATTTATATATATAAATTATTTCATACAATTAAACTCTGACGAAAATATACAAATATACTATCATCGTAAGTACTTTCTTTCTTATACATGCATTTACTTATATACACAGGTACATGTTTATGGACATGTATTGTATTCCCATGCTAATAAGATCGTATAATAAGTTAATGAGCTAATAAGTTTATTTTCTTAAAACATATATATAAATGAAACTTTCACATTCAGTTTATCATATATAGAACACTCCAATTCGTTCAATCATCAAACGTCCAAAAGCTTAGTAATAGAAAGAGCACCGAAACACGAGGCTATCTGATTTGTACGAGGGGGCGTAGCCCCCGAGTATTAATCAGATTGCCGAGTGGTTTGGTGTTCTTTCTCTTTTGTATCATAGTCAAACATAAAAGCACGTTCCCTGTTGTCACAATATGAAACCCCGGCAAAAATGAACTAATGAACGAACATCTGAATATGACATTTCTGTCGCTTTCCCTTTCTCTGTCGTCACAGTATGTAAACCCCAGCAAAAATTAGCCAATCAATGGGCATGCTCTGGAGTGCGGGTAACTAATACCCGCACTCCAGTTAACGCACTGTGCATGTATATGTATACGATTTAACCCTGACACATTTTCAACAGAAAGGTCTCCAAACTATGATACAATAGAATTTAAACCATAAGCAATTTCAAAATTAATCGTTGCACCATCATATTTCAATTATAACAGATTGTTTTAACCGACGAATTTTACGTATTTTTCGCCGGTTTGACGTGAAAAAATGATTCGCTATAGCCGAAAATTCGTTTTAATAGAGAACGAACTAAGCAATGTGATTGAATTTAATATAAAATAAAGTAGGAATCGGCCGGGGAATTCAGAATTAGTTTGTTATTAACGATAATTCGTTATAAGCGAGTTCGACTGTATATATTGTATGCTATCTTCGATTTAGATATGCATGCCCGATGGCCATGTTTTGCCATTAACTTATAACAGTGTCAAAGTATATATATGAACAATGGTTATAATTTGAAAGATGAATATGATAGCGACAAGAGACATTTGCAAATTTTTAAGCCTTTAATCCAGATTTGACAAAGACCGTATTAAGTTAAACGTTTACAAAACCCACCGGTATCCCTTTTTTATCTCGTAAAAGGTTTCTGAAACATTAACTTAGTGTCAGGTATACATATGAAAGCAATATGTACTATTAAATTCATTTAATAGTTTGAATTTATTTTGAATCAAACTTATTTCCATATTGGCATATACATTGTGGATTGTACTTTAAAAAATGAACAAGAAAGAGTGAATGGTTTCAAAATACGAGATAATAATACGCAGGCTTTTAGTTAGCGTTCCTTTTAAACTAAATCAATAATATTTTGATAAGATCTACATACATTATTCATTTGCATGTGCTCGTTGATTCAAACATGATAACTGCTTTCGAGATTTGTTGTTTACGAGTATATTCCGACTTAAACGTCTTTGTAGAAATATATTGTTTAAATTATTAACAATTTATTATTGGTTGAAATGTTTAAAAGACATTAATTGAATTAATGTCCAGCGTTGTTTTGTATGTTCATGATCTTGTTTTACATGTACAACAATTTTATTGTGATTTTTTTATGATTTATCTATTCCTGATGACCTATATACAATATATAGAATCTAAAGGTAACTCTAAATGTGTTTTTCATACCACTTTTCCCTTTGTGGTTGAGGGGTTGCCGTCGATGTTCGAGGCATAAGAATTGCAACTTAAGTTTATCCCTATGTGATCGTAAGAGGCGACAAAATGGGTTTGAATAATTGGAGTCTATACTTCTACAGCTTCAGCAGCTGAGGTGGTTTTGACCCTTGGTGTTGAAGTTTGTAACACACGAGGTTAGCCAAAATCATCTTTCCTGTTCCGGCGTTATATGACCTTTACTGTGTTGATTCGCCGTAAAAAGAACCAAACAAGCAAACACATACACCTAACATGTAGCTAAATGGATTCATTTAAACAATGGTAGTTAAATTGCGAGACACTGTTTCATAAGATTTTATTTTGAAATTACAAAAAAGAAGTAAGATATGGTCAAATTTCTGTATTTTCCCATATTAATTTTAAGATGAAAAATGTTGTCATTATTTTACCTGTGCGATCTAACACAATCATGAATATAGATTTAGCGTGGCCACCCGGTAAACGTTGAAGACTAGTAAATCAAGGATTGCTAAACGCACAAATTCAAAACCCGTAAGTGGAAGGCTAGTATATTTATGTTTAGTATTATGATGGATGGGTTGGGTATTTGAAAAACGATTTTCCAGACACAATACTTTCATAAAAGCACTGTTAAAGTTTTTGGCAGTAATGAATGACCAAATTTCCTGTCATTGCGTTGGTGGTGTTGTCAAATAAAATATACAAATACCGTTGATTTGGAAACATATCCTCCATAAATCAAGAAATCAAGAATCAATATTTACCTTTAATGGCACATGAAGCATCGGGTTCAACATTACAAGTCTCCGCAGCGTCACAGGCACACTTGTCATTTATCTAGTGAAAGAAATTATATGAAATGAATGACATGCATTGTACTACACAACTTTGTAGGCCAACATTTACAACAAAAAATATTTGACTAAGGCGTTTCGGAATAAAAATATGGCTATAGAGTGATCCCTAGGAAGCATTAATCACATCAAAGTTCGTGAAAATTCGGTTTGATAGAGTCTGTATGTAATAGATAATGAAAAAGTGCATCTTCCCCCACGCCTCACGCCTCTGAGAAATATTAGATATTTGTATGAAAATATAAATATATCAAAATAAACAAAATAATTTGTGTTTTTAAATATGTTATCTGTCATTTTATAAATATGCATTTAATTTAATAGAAGTAGAAAAAGACATCTATTGATTATTAAAATGAAATCAATTCTGAACATTCCACAAGTGCGATTTTCTTTACATCCATACCTCGCTTACATCCATGTCAGTCTTTTTTACGAAAACACATGCACGATTTCTCCTGGCATTTTCAAATAGCTCCTCATCATCGTCCGGGATAAGCTCACATGTGTGAAGTCGGTTGAAATAGTTAATAGCCTTACAATCTGTTCTTGTTGCACATTCATCTACACACTGCGATAGCGAAACCTGTGTCAACGTCGTCAAAATATCGTCAGATTTTAAACAAAATTTCATACTCGAAATTCTGAACTTAACTTTTAGTTCGTCATTTGTGAAAATGCTTAATGTAATAGTTACAAACGAAAAACACAATACAGAAATAGTTTTGATCGTTTTGTAGTAGCCCATTCCTGCAGCACGGCTTCTTATGTAAGTTAATGTTACTATGCTGGTAGTACTAAACCACAGTATTCTTTGCAGTTGCCAAAAAACAAATTCTGAACCGACCGAAAACTGAACAATAATCCACTTACAACGACACTATTAAGAACTTTCAACAAGCCTGTCTAAAACTAGACTCTCATCAATAATTTATATTTTGAATAACATATGACTTTTCAATGTTTTATAACCTCATTTTTTAGCCACGCCATTAACGTAATAAGGTGTATATGAATAAAACATATAACGAACACAGAGGCAGAGCTGAGAATGAAATTGCATTGTCCTGATTAGAACATTCCCTTGGCACCAGAACAAAATATGTTTGAAATTGAAATATGACAATAAATCTTTTCTTTACAAACTTTTTGAAATTTCATGTAATGGTATGATAAAAAGGTATGCAATCTGAAGTCTAGTATACCTTTTATTTCTAAGTTGCTGCAATTGTGAAAAATTAAGAGGTGAGGAAATTTCTTATTTTCGGGACCATACATCGCTTTTCATTGAATGGCACGAAAGTGTCACATTGAAGGTTCCATGATAACCACCATATGCATATAACTGCGGATGTTTCTAAATTCAAAGTTTCATCATTACCATGATTAATGTTGAATTCTGCTTCAGTCGATGCTTGCAGGCATGGATGGTAAATTGCACTTTCCATTACCGAGCCTGCAACTTTTACAATTTTATCGTTTTGTACGCTCTTATGGGATTCTTTAATTCTCTCTATCTTAAGAAGATTTCAAATTCCTCATTTTGAACCGTCATTATGTAAGACTCTAAAGAACTTTAAATTGATCTAAAATACTAAGTAAATACATCTTGTTTACATCTCTTTATAAATTAAAAGTAAAATCCTTTACATAATATAGTATTTATTCATTTATTTATTTATTTATTTATTTGTAATTGTTTTAATCTATATTGTGTTTGTTTATCATGTAACATGTTTACCTTTATGCCGAAATAAATCTATATATCTATCTATCTATCAAATTAAGCTTTTTATTAAATCTTCTTTTGAATGTATTTTTCGTCTACTCTTTTGCCAATGATATTGTATGCAAGTAAAATAATGGTTTTATCTTGTTTTTTTCTTTTCATTCCAATGCAAGTGCATAACGTTTGCATCTGTTCTTTCAGCAAAAAGAGAAAAGCAGAATTCCTAAAGAAAGCACAACACGGCAAAATTGAAAATGTCACAGACTTGGATTGATTGAGCCTGTTTAAGGGTGGTAGTGGTAATTGCATGCTACCGTTCACGCCTCCGAGCACCGGCTTAAGCAGAATTAAACATTTAACATTGAACTGGCAAATTTTGAAACATCAGCAGATGTGTTCATATAGCGGTTGCAAGTCGTTCAACAAAATATTACTCACTGAGAATATATTTCCAATAAAGAACAGCTGATCAAAACAAAATTTCATCTTCTTTAAGTTAATTTCTGCTTCAGGGCGATGCTGAGCTGATGGTACTTGACTTTCCAAACCAACTTTGCCCTCTCGCTATGGGATTCAATTCCCGACTGAAGACTTTCAATTCCCTTTTTATTGTGACTGAAGCTATGCAGCTAACTTGCAAACGTCTGTTTTACATTCCCTTTAAATTCGTTGCCTAAATTTATTAAATTTCTTTTAAGGGCATTTTTTGCTCTTCCTTCATGCAGTAAAATGGAAATTCGTTCATTTCACCAATAAGTGCATAAGTGTTCACTGTAACCCCAAAAACAAAAAACAAAATTTTAGTCTAGGATAAAAGGAAAATTATTTACCTAATTACCTGTTTTATGTTGGTATGTAAGAAATCCTTCAGGTTGTTCAACTTTAATTACTAAATTGTTAATTTAAACAATGCAATGTGTGAACGGGGGTCTTCCTTGGTGTCGCTCTTCTCTCTTTGTTCTTGAAATTTTCCTCGGTGCCTTGCCGCGTTCCCGTAATAATTCATAACGGGCGTAGCCATGTCATTTCTTTAATGTTTAATTAATCTTTGAATTATAGAACATCATTGAAATTAAAACTGATGCACATGGTCCTTTCTAGATATACCTTTGTCTTTATTTGTTATTGTCAGATACTTGCATCTTTGATTAATAGATCATAAATGTACCTAGATAGAGTTAAACTGGGTCTTATAAATATTAAATCATTTAAATTTGTGACACACATATATTCACCTCAACATTGCTTTTCTTTAAATAGGAAATATCAAGTAGAAATTTACCCTACCAAGAGCACCTTTATTAGAAATGTAGCTGACTTAAACAACACACACTGACTAGAGTACAGCAATTATTATATTTTATCGTAAACAAATATTTAGAATTTGATTCCAGATCATTTTAATTTACTGCAGTAAACTAAAGAAAATCATTCAAAGGATATCAACATATCATTATTATCATCAGCAGCAGCAGCATACCAATCAATATGCTTCTTCTTACCCTCACATTCATCATTATCATCTTCAATAGCACCATCCTCATTAAAGCAATCAACATACTATTACTTATTATCAGAATCATCAGCAACATGACTATTTCAATTATTAAGAAAATAATCATCAGTATTAGATGCAAAAGTATGCCAACCATCATCAATATCATAATCATCATCATCACAATCATTGAATCATCATCATCAATAACATTTTTTTCTTCAATTATTAAATGAAGAGTAACAGCATGATCATGATTATGAGGAATACCAGCAAAATCAACAGTGTGATCATCGTTATCATCATCATCATTATCAACATCATCATCATCACCACCATCAAAATAAGTGTAGTTTCTCATCAATTCTTTAATCATCAGCCTAATAGTTTACAATAATAAGGACCACTATCATCATGTTTGAGAAACAGCAGCAGGATGACATCACAATCATTGCAATTGTCATTTAGGGAGAGAAAAGGTGCAACCTGACTTGTACTCAAACCAGGGATCCTCATTTTCCCTTTATTTTGTAAGATCTTCTTCAAAGCATTATCAGGCCCGAAGCAATAACCAAAGCAAAATGGCCGGGATATTTTCGCATGACATGTTGTTTTCTAGGGTTATGTATGTAAAGGGTATATTAAATAAAATACGAAACACTTTTAGTCTGATTCTGTTTATGATTTGGTTTTCCATTAGTTTTGAGGGTCTTCTTTACAGCAATATAAGGCTCAAAGTCCTTACCAAAGCAGGGGATTTCTGAGTGGCATGGTCGTGTGTTGTTTTTACCGGTGTCGCGTAATATTCAGACGGGTGTAACTAAGTACAGGGTTTATAGATGGTTTTTTTTAATAACTCGTCTGTGAGTTTCTTCACAAAAAAGCTTTGAACATTGGTGTTAATCTTCAGCATCGAACAATTATATACATGTAGTTATTATTTATAATAAGTGTTTGGATTTGAATATTCTGACATTCTTTATTTTCTTCAGAATATATCAGTAAACATGAGGTAGTCGTGTGCTTTGGGCTATCATAGTGAACGGCGCTGACTCTTATTGATTTTTACTTTTATATTTTAAACTTCCGGATTGAATAACTACTCATAACTAAGATGACTGTAAAATAAATGTCCTTAAATTAATAAAATAATCGATAGTTCTATGGAAGTGTCTATCTCAAATAGATTGAAGTGTAAAAATACATTGTTTTCTGTTGGTGTGGTTGTTTTAAAACGATTGAAAAAAATGACATAGGTTAACATTGAATTTTTAATTGAAAAAACAAAACAACAACATAATGGAATTTCTGTTTGATGATAATTTATGTTAGCAAAGTTTGATTAGATATAACGAGAACATATTAAAAGTATTAAATATAACATTATTGCACCCAATTATGGTTCGTAAGTCTAATAAACACGCATGGATTTCTCCAATCTTTCCAAGTCATTTCGTAATTTCAACCGATAATCTCCATATGACCCATTTATATTCGGTGACTGACAGTCGCAATACCACCAGCCTCATTTATAATATTCTGCACAATCATACTTAATAGAAGTATCATGGTGATGATTAATGAAATTCATTCCGTTGTGTCTCTCAATCAAACTATCCGTGTTCCGCTATGCCCAGCGATATTATAAATACATTTCGTCGTATCAGCTCCTATTTAAAATAAATCGTTTTTGGCATACCCTGTTGATCTTTGAGATAATCTCGTAGCTTTTACTGCTCACTGTGTGTAACTTTCCATATCTTATCGTTCCCTAACCAAAACGTGTCATTCAATTGACCAAACCTTTCCTTATACTTCCCAGGTCTTTAGAAAATCACTATGTAATTATATGTTTTGAAACACCGTCCAACCGCCAGCTGTCGTGTCCATGTCACAACGAGCCATGAAGCCATTGCTTCCTGTTGGTTAAATCTCAAACACTCCTGTTTCTGCTGTCATGTTAACTGCTTGAACATCTTGACAATCTCTCGCAAGTAAACAACCCTTGCAAATGTTATGCCCATTAGTATCTTAAATACAGAAAATTTGAAAGATTCAAGTAAAAGTGACTTTGACTTGTGTAAAGTATGTTTTAAAACGTAAACTGCTAATATAGATTTTATGCAATCGCAAAAGACAAATTGATGAAAGGACGGAAACAGTTCAACAAAAAGCAATTGACATACTTTTTGCCCTTAATCCCTGTTATACATTAGGTACAATGTAATAAGAAGAAAAACATCAAATATTAGAATGTTGATAATTATTATTTAGTAAATTATTCATATATAAGAATGTAAGTGACATAATCCTAAAAAAACAAGTACTATGTGGCCATTGTTCGAAGAAAAATCGGTTTTTAATCATTTAGGCCAAAAACTGAAGCATGTTTGAATTTTTGTTAAATTTTCTTCTAAGAGATATGTTGCAACATATATAAAAGATACTAGTGCAATGATACGTAAACATTTTCTTACAATCTGGAGCGTATGACCATTCGGCATTTGCAAGATTAGTCGCGATTGATTCTTGAAATGTTGCAATAAACATTTGGTTGCCCTCGTATGTCATTGAAGTTCCTATGGACTGCACATTTCCTTTTACTTGACCATTTTGAATCCTAAAACTTTCACACTCTTTCCAGCAAGAACAAACGAGCGGTTAATCACATTTAATTATGTATCCAATGTGTTATTGTAAAGCTTTATGTTCTCGTGAATTGACATGGGACAAGACTATTTACGAAAATATACAAAAAATGTAGAGTAATGTAACTTTTTCAATATACGTACAATAATATTATAGAAAGGGTAATTAGTTTGTGTACTTCTTTCCCGTCTGCAAAAAAAACAGTTATTTTAAAAACCCCAAAACATCACAACAGAAGAACAAGATATGAAAATAGTATTTACCTTTTTATCGCACATGAGACATCAGTTTCGATATCACATGACTCCCTAGGGTTACAAGAACATTTGTCATTAACCTTTTGGTAATATAACATCACTTAGAAATAGATCTTGATCAAATTGGTTATTACAAACGATTCGTATAATTCATACTAGAAAAAAAAACAGGCGTTTAAATCAAATCATAAAATTTCAATTCATCAAGTGTACCATATTAAACATATTTTGTACGTTTAAAACGATATTTCAGCTTTAAATTACCTTCATGAACTCATCATATTTTTGAGATATTTATGCTCATTAAAGTACATTACTTAGGTCCATGTCAGCTTCATGAACGAAGATACATGATGGAGTCTTTCAAACAGCGCACCATCATTGTCCGGAATAAGTTCACAGGCGTGATAAAGATTGAAATAGTTAATAGCCTGACAGTGTGTTCCTGTTGCACGTTCATCCACATAATGCTATTGCGATACTTGTGTCAGCGTCGTAAAAAACGGTCCTGCTGTAAACAGTAGTTTTTAAAGCTCGAAATATTGTACTTTACATTGACTCCTTTGGTCATTGATACGCAACATAAATTGGTGCTAAGAAAGCATGTAATATGACTATAAGTTTGTGCGACCCAATCTCTGTAATAAGAGATCGTATTCCATTTATTCAAGGTTAACCGACACTGCCATCTAAAGAAAAAATGCATTTTATAATTATCTTATGCGAATACAATACCGATTTCTTAATCACTAAGGCGAAGCGAGAATATTTAGTTCTAATTAATTTATTAGCAACAAGTTTAAATTAGCAAAGCTTCAAGTATCCATCTCAAAAGTAATAGATAGTTTACCAAGTCTGGAGTATATATGACGCTCTGTTGTGCTCTCTATATTTATGGAATATTTAAAGAACAGTAAAATGATTTAAATATTTGAGTAATAATTCATATGTTTTGTGCTTTTGAACACTGATTTTGAAGTATTTATCATTATATTTCTACTGCGTAATAAACGCAGTGAGGGTTATTTTTGCATATTTTGACATCATTTTGGTAATTCACACGGATTGTAAATGCCGTTTACAATATATCAATTACCTTTTTATTGTTTATTTCAAAATGTTTACTTTTCAATACATTTTCAAAATTTTACAAAATTAGCATAAACTGGAGGCATGCTGCTTTAGAAAACAGATGTTGTTAAAATGATTTGTGTAAAAGTACAAAGGCATAAGAAATTCAAGAATGTTTTAGATGCCCTTTATATCAGCATATCACAATAAAAACTAAGCTCTTTGATCATTATCATTTTTTTAGAAAGGAAATAAAAAATTTAGAGTTCTATTATTTATCAGGATGGAAATAATGATTTTTGAGTGCTATATTAATCAGAATGGAAATTATAAATTTGGAGCGCTACTATTTAACAGAACTTATACAATGATTTTAAAGCGCTATCATTTATCAGAATGAAAATAATGATTTTAGAGTGCTATTATTTAACAAAATCGACATAATGATTTTAAGAGCGACATCATTTATGAGAATTGAAATGATGCTTTAAAAGCGCTGTAATTTATCGGAAAAATAAGAGTTCAGGGCGTTATCAGAAAAAAAAACATACAGCGCTATGATTTTTTCCAAACGTAAATTAAGGAAATAGATATAAATTCTTAGTGCATTGTTGTAGAATAATGCACGGTTTGAGTTCAAATGCGTAGTAATATAATCAGGAAGGCCGATAGGCCTGAGTGATTAATTACAAAGCATTTGAACGAAAAACGTGTATTATTATACAATAATGCACGAAGAATTAATATCTATTTTCATTCCAACACGTCAAGAAAAGATATAAATTATAATTATTATTATAAAGTTGTACATTATGTTTGGTGATTAAACTTGTTTTCGCCTCAGAATTTCCAATAGAAACGTTCTTTAAAGGCTGTTCCAGTGGGTTGAAAAAACTGTCGTTAAATCTACCGTATTTAGAAACATTTTGAGAATAACGAATTTTGAAAACGTTAGTAAAACTTTGTTTATTTTATTTCACTCTATAATTTTTCAAGCGAAATACAAATTATTAAAAGTGAAATAAATGTAAAACTTAACTCGTTTGCGATATTGAAATAGCGTACTTGATTTGATTGTTTTGCACGTGCTGTTTGGCGCTACATTGTGACGTCACGTAAACAACAGTTTAAACGTCTGTGCAGCGTTAACGACTGAATTAAAGATATTGATGTTCGGATTCATTTTCATAGTAAGACCATTTTCTTTCATTCTAAATAGTTTTCGCAACAAATTTTTCTTTGTTTATCAGATTTTTCAAACAAAATGGCGCCCTCAATGTGAAAATGCACAGGGAGATGATAAGAACGGCGAGTGCATTGTTGTAGAATAATGCACGATTCGGGCCTTCTTTGTTTATATAGAAAAAATTCCGATAGTGTTAGAAAATGCTTTAGAGCGCTATTATTTAACAGAATCGAAATAATGATCTAAGAGCGATATCATTTATTACAATTTAAATAATGAAGTTAAAGCGCTATCATTTATCAAAACGGAAATTATGATTTAAGTGCGGTAGTTATAAAAAATAAAATAATGATTTTAAAGGATTTCACTTTTCAGAATAATATAAAGAACAATTGTTATATACATAAGATGATGTTATAATGTTTATGTGCATCTTACGGTGAAATATTTGACACTAACGCAAAATATTAATTTCTTTCATTGAAATTAAAGCGATTTTGCTGCAATAAAAAGTTATCAAATAAACAGCATGCTTTATCTCTGTTCTCAAAACATTGTAGTTACTTTCGACGAATTTTCATTTCAGTAAATTTCATAAACACGCAATTACCTCTCCATTGTTTCCACGTCATTCCGCGATTACAACGGACGTTCCCATATGGTCCGTTTAAGTTTGAAACCTGACAGTCAGAGTACCACCACCCTCCCTTAAAAAGATATACACAAGATCTAAAATATGTATCGTTGTCTCGGTCAATAGTGCTGAACATCATTCCGTTATGACCCACGATCAAGCTGTCATCGGCTGTTCCACTTTGGCCAGCGATATTCAAGACATATTTCGTCGACTCATTTCCGATTGAAAAAGAACTGTATTCCGCATATCCCTCCGAGCCATTTTGGTCTATGAGATCAACTCGTAGTTTGTACAGCCCTCTGCTTGTAAGTTTCCATATCTTATCGTTCCCTAACCAGAAATTATTAGCCAACTGCCCAAACCCTTCCTTATATGCTTCCCAGTCTTTTTCAAAATCACTATTTGATTCTCTGCGTTGAAACACCGTCCAGCCGCCAGGTTGCGTGTCCATATCACAGCGAACCATAAACCCATTGCTTCCAATTGGATAAATCTTAAACAACCCTGTTTCTGCTGTTTTGTTAACTGCTTTAACATCTTGACAATCTCTCGGACGTATACAACCCTTGCAAATGTTATTACCTTCAGTATCTAAAATATAGTGGTTTATTGACCAATATACACTAGGAATGTGTGCAATATCAATGTGTAATATACTTGTATATGATGTGCAATAAATTGAGACAAAAAAGAGTTCGAAAATTTCTCTTCTGGTTTTCTTTGACTAAAATAGTGAAACAACATGTACTATTATGGTGGCGACCGTAATATCGAACAAACCATTGGCGTATTCAATAACATATACAATGTCATGCTTATTAATATTGATGCATTTCTTTTATTATTCTAATAGGTTTAAAGAAAAAGAAAGACATACACTGAAAGGAACGGTACAAAAACCTTACTCAAGAAAAGTTGTTTTACTTTTGATCTCAATTTCATTTCAGCCAAACTTTTACCAGGAGATTTTTTGTTTGCTAACTTATTTTTCTTTTCCATTCCACTCAGTAAAACATAAAATGTTCCTATATATAGCAAAAAGGAAAACCTTTTGTACAATCGGGAGTGTATGACCATGTCCCATTTGCAAGGCAGGTCGCTCCTGATTCTTGAAATGTTGCAATGTACATTTGGTTGCATTCGTATGTTATTGAAGATCCTATTGACCGCATATTTCCATTTACTCGACCATTTTGTATCGTTAAAGTTTCGCATTCTATGAAAAAGGAAAGCTTTGTTAATGAAGCCTATTCATATGAACACATTATTTTAAAAAATATATTAACGTGTGATCTGAATGATTATATTGTTATTTAATTATTTAATACAGATAATTGCGGGAAAGCTTTTTTCCAAATACCTGTTCATTTACAGTGTAAAGAATTTGATCATTATCTGTTGAGAGCAATTCTAAATTGAATAGTTCATATTGTATTTATTATCACTGGAGACATAATATTTACCTTTAATCGTGCAAGACACATCTAATTCAAGGTCACATGACTCCCTCGCGCCACAAGGACAGCTTTCATTAATCTAATTGTAAGGAAATTCATCAATCAGTATTGGTTATCGAGCAAGTGTTTGACTGTTTCAGACTTAAGTTAAAGATATAAACCCGCGGCATTACATGTAATAGTCAAAGCAGCAGTAGTTGTAGCAAAAGAAGTAGCAAAAGAAGTAGTATTAGTAGCAGCAGCAGTAGTAGAAGCAGACGCATTAGCAGCAGTAACAGTATAAGCATTAGCAGCAGTAGTAGCAACAACAGCAACAACAGTAGTAAAAGCAGTAGTAGTAGAAGAAGCAGAAGTAGTAGCAGACATAGTAGCAAAAGCAATCGTAATAGCAGCAAAAGTAGCAGCAACAACAACAGAGGCATCAGTAGCATTAGTAGTATGAGCAGAAGTAGCAACAACAACAACAGAAACAGCAGTAGCTGTAGTAGTAGCAGCCTTTATAGCAGTAGTAAAAGCAGTAGTTGTAGTAGCATTAGTAATAAAAGTAGCAGTAGCAGCACAAGCAGTAGCAGCACTAACAGTAGTAGTAGAAGTAGTAGTAGTAGATGTAGCAGCCGCGGCAGTATTAGTAATAGTGGTAGCAGTATTCATTCCAACAGTAATTGCATGATGTTGTTGATGTTGTTGTTGGTCATCGTGTTGTTGTTTTTTTCTGTTTCTACTTTAGTTTTATTCAGATAAAAAACTGTATTGTCTTAATGTCATATTTACCTTTTGCAAATCACTATTAAATGAACAAACATTCGATTTAAAACACACTTTAAACATTCACATTTGCATTTATACCGATGCATCTTTAATATAATAATGAAAATCCTAGACGTCATTATAATTTTGTTACTTCAATGATCTTTTTTATAATCTTGGGTTGATTTTCTCAAAAGAAATATGTATTTAAATTCTACAATCGTTTTTATCTAAAAAACATTACCTCGGTTGTGATCATATCATCCTTTTTTACCAAAACGCATCCACGATTGACCTTTGTAGTTTCAAACAACACACCATTGTTTTCCGGAATAAGTTCACAGATGTGGTAACTCTTGAAATAGTTAACCGCCTGACAGTCTGTTCGTGTGGCACATTCATCAACACACTGCGATAGCGTTACTTGTGTCAGCGTCGACAAAATATGGTCGGATTTTAAACAAAATTTCCAACTTGAAATGTTATACTTAAATTTTGATCCGTTGCTTCTTGTAATATAACATGCAATAGTAACTATCAAAACATATAAAGCAGCAAAATATTTGTATTTGTATAATCCCATTGCTGTAATAAGAATTATTTCATTATCTCCATTTAGTTCAAGTGACGCTCCTATGCAAATGGATATGTTGTTTTCATAGTTTTTCAAAGATCAATCGACCGCTGCACCCTTGCAAATCATACAAATACAATAAAACTAATTAGTTTTAATTAATTCATCACCAACAGATATTGTAAGAACAATTCTCGGTTCATGGATCTCACAATAATCAGAGAAGCGTATATATAATGATATTTGAATAAATCATGATTTTTAGATTTGCTCGATATTAAAGTAGGCGTTAATGTTTCTGTATAATTAAAGCTGTCTTTAGCTCATTTTTGTTGAAAAAAACAAAACAAAACAATTATGTGATGTTACAAACTAATTATCTCAGTAATATTACCAAGGAAAAGTGCATCATATCACTTTTAAGTCTTCTCCAAGACAGCGCCTCGAGAATTATTTATAGCGCGCAGAGACGTTCGTTTCTTAAAGATAGAAGATCGGCTTTATTTTAATTTACATATAGAGAGAGGACATGTAGAGGTTTCGAAGGGTTTTCTTATTGTAATCGTATTTTATCGACGACACAATTCTTAATTATTTCACTTTAATTCTTTTGATTTGACAATTATATGAAACGACTGGTTATATTCTAGAAAATAATTCTTTAAATATTTGAAGTAATAACTAGTTTAGTTGGTTATATTCCAAGTGTATTAATAATTGCTTCTGTGTAGTTTTGTGTGATACCAGATGGCATTAAGTTGAAATCGTGAATTCATGATTGAAGTTGAACTCGTGATTTCATGAAGTTTAAATAAGTTGAAATCGTGAATTTATGGAGCTGAAATACTGAATTTGTGAATTCTGTATGTTGAAATTGTGTATTAATGAAGATGACGTCATTTCAGATCACGCGTTTAATATCCATCTATACTATACCTTTCCTTATACTTCTATTATATATCATTTTCAGGCATCCTTAAACCTTTCCAAAACTAGACTTCTGAGAACGTTAAAAATATGGATGTTCATGTTGCGATTCAAAGTTATGTACTTGGAGGAGGGACAACATATTCAAAAAGGTGGCACAAAAATTCTAAATTAGTAAATGTTAACATTTTAATGTCAAAAATAAATACATGTTATATTTTCACAAGGATTATCATTTGACGTAGTGATAAAGAATTTGATCTTGTCCCTCACTAAGAGTGTAGTATCATTTGACGTAGTGATAAAGAATTTGATCTTGTCCCTCACTGAGAGTGTAGTATCCGAGCCCAGTTGCGTCCCAACAAACGGCCTCCCCTTGGGGCTCATCTTTATATGCTAATTTTGTCCCAGGTGTCTGTAGCGTGGCTAAATAGTCATTTGAACCGTGTAAATTCCAATAATAGATATTGTGATGGGTCTGAAACAGAGACGATATAGTATTATAGCTGCAATAATAAAATAATTTTATAGATAAGGTGTTACTTCCTTGCTAAATAGCCAGCGATTGGCTGAAAAAGTTCACGAGTTAATGGAATATAAGGAGAATGTGATGTTTTATTATAGAAACGTACACACATTGTTTTCTGTGGGAAAAGGGATTATTTCATAGTTTCTTAGAGCATTTTAGGATATTTGAATTAAAAAAATACATTCATATGCCAGTCCTTGGACCAGCTGTGAATTTTAACGAAAATTACATATTTCTCGAAAGGTCTTGTCGGCCACGACTATATAACTAGATAAGATAATGCTATGTAATGGACACCAATCTTCTAGACGAATACTTAATTTAAGTCATGCTTTGTTGCCATGTCGCAAAAAAATCAATAAGGTAATCGGACTTAAAGATGTTATGAAAAACCAAGTAAATAACTTTACAAAACTTAAGGATACCGTCGATATAAGAGTGGATACCTTTAACAAAGGGGAAATAACCGAGTATATAAAATTATGAAAGGATAATATCAGAGTTAATACCTTGAAAGAAGGAGAGTTAAGGAGTAAATGGTAATAACGAAAATACGCTATTATAAAAGCGTTGTAACAGAGTAAATGATTTATAAAAAGAGAAATAACGGAGTAAATACCTTCATAAAAAAGACATAACGGAGTAAATATTTATATTAAACGAAATGAAGGAGTAAATACTTATGTAAAGAGAAATGACGGAGAAAACACCTATATAAAAAAGAAATGATGGATTAAATACCTTTATAAATAAAAAGAAGTAACGGAGAAAATACCTTCATAAAAATAACGGAGTAAATGAATTTTTGAAAGGTAGTAAATGCCTTTATAAAAAGGAAATGTCGGAGTAAACATTTTAACAAAAGGGCAATAATTGAGTGAATAATTTTATAAAAGGTCAATAATGGAGTTAATACCTCTATAAAAAGAGTAATAACGTAGTGGAAACCTTTATAAAAAAGGTTAATAACGGAGTAAATACCTTTACAAGAACCTCATTCCCATTCGGAGAAATATCACCACCAACAGGATCATTCGAGCCTGATTCAATGTTAACTACCGCCGTGGAGCTTAAAGAAACTCTCGAGCTCGAACCCCAAGCAGAATTTGGCAGCTGAGCAATAGTACCGTGACCGTTTGAAACTTTGGAAATTATGAACAGATTGGCACTTGGGTCCACCATCAACGTCTCACAATCATCAAAGTTCCATCTGTAATGAATAAAATCTGTAGAGTCAAGAGTAAAGATTTTGTATATGAACTGATATGTTGTGATTTATTATAATACACATTATACAGCAAAGTATTAGTACGGATATAATGTTTACTTTAGACGTGTAAATTTTAGACGTGATGCTTACGAGAACTCTAATTTATCGTTTGAACCAACATGTATTGTTTGACTGCTTAGATCATCAGGTTCAGTAACTCTGTAAATATTATTCAGAGCTCCCTTGCCACTGTTACCAAAGTCGCCTGGAACGTAAAAAATAAACACTTAATAGCTATACAATGCTAAGCAATGCTCAGTTCTTATAATATAACATTTGAGATCATAAACATACGCGTTTTTTTTTTACAATTATTTTACAATATGTTGTGTTTTAAGTGTGTAAAGCAATTAGTTAAAAAAGCTATATACAGGTATCGGTATAGTTAATGAGTCGGGTTAATAATCTACGGATTGCTGGCTCCTTTGGTTCAAACCCCGTTAAGTGCAAGTCGTTATATCCGTAAGAATGAAACTGTACACTTATTGTTTGGTCTATACAAATTTTGTTTACTTCGATTGTATGGGAGCTATAAGGTTATAGACACACTCTCCAATCCTTTCCTGGTGTAACGTGTACCGAGCGGATGTACAACGAATATATAATAAATTTTTCTTTGGGCTACCTGCCGTTTGATTAGATACAAATGATTATGAAATTATCATATATCATAAACAATCAGCTTGAATTAATACTCCAAAATACACTATTAAATTATTAAAAGTCACAATACAGTAAATATGTTTACAATATAACACTATGAAATAATTCAAAAGCTATAGATATCACGCTGCAACCCGATAATTTCCTATAGTCCAGCAACTACCTCCCTATCTATGAAGCGAGGCTTCTATTTAGATAGAAAGATAAGCTGCTGGCGGGGAATTACAACTGTTACAAAGTTCCAACTGTTTTATCTATACAAACTTATTCGTTATTGGTATACCTCTGGATTTTTAATACCTATATGTTACCAATTTCCTGATAGCGAGGCTTTCAGAAAATATGGAAATCTATAAGTACCCAGAGTCAAATACAATTTCACAACTAAACTAGAACGACACTATATCCATGAAGCTAGACTTCAATTGGATAGACAAGGGTATTAAGTTTTGCCAATTCTTCTTTTCTACCTATGAAGCTAGGCTTCAGTTAGGTAGACGAACTTATCCTCTATGTATGAAGCGAGGCTTCAATTACATAAAGTAACCTGGTCCCGGTGAATTCCTCTGCAGACTGAGTAATTTTTTTCTAATCGCCGTATTTATACCTGCTGAGATAATCGCTCAAGCATGACTTTATTTTCATTGGCTGATAAGAATGATCATGATCACTGAGACGTTAATTACATTATATGATATCAAACGTTCATTGAAAATACGTATACTAAACGTATATTGTAAAGTACCGTAAACTAAAATATATTGTCGCAATATAAACAATTAACATAATTGTAAAGTTACACTAAAATCATTTCAGCAAACGATAATCTTTATTCAAAACTAGTTAATTATAAAAAAATGCCAAAACGTTACACTGGTACCAACCAGTACTGCGCAATGAGTGTAAAGTTTCTTGCTCAAAGAAACAACAACTTGCCCCTGACGGGGTTTGAATGCATTCGGCTAGTGAAAATAGACATCTGTCAATTACAAGCAACCAATTAAAGCAAATCAAATTAAAAGAAAAGAAAAAAAAGACAAAACTTATGCACCTATATAGATACAAAAGCCACTGTTCGGATCAGGGTGACATTTCCCGAGAGCTATATCCTCCCAATCATTTGACGTGACGCCACTTATTGTAAGTGTAGCCTCTTTTTCTCCAGTTAAAGCATTAATGACGTAGATTTCAGCAGCGCCCCCATGATCATTGTGAGTATAAATAGCTCCCGGATGTTTACGACTTGCAGCAAGTCCAGACGCCTCGGTTATCTTGTGGGATGTCACATGACCGGCTTGATACCACTGAAAATTCGGCACTTAAAAAAAAATTAAAAAAAAAGTTTTTCATTAAAATATTGCATGCATAATTAGATATAATGGTTAATTTGTGCTGACATTTCCGTATAATAAGTGCACATGATACTCGTCCTCTTTGTTATTATATTACAATATACACACATACGCAATTTGTCTTATCATTCACGCAGATAACATTCCGATACACATGTTTTATGCAAAATGTTCATGTAGCGGAGGAAAAACATTTACATATTAATAGACACATAATTTAGCGTTAATTTACCTTAAATATATTCAATGACAAATAGAATAAAGTTGCATAAAGCTTCCATATATATATTTTGTTGTTTGTGTTCCTATTCGACAATAAATCACTGTATAGTCAGTGGGTGTGTGTGTGGGTGGATGCCTAACGTTAAGATGTATACCGCTTTACCAGGATAAAGTTGGTTAAAGCTCTAATCGGTTTATGACCACGCTTCCCCTTGTGATATCAGGGTATGGGGTTACAAATTCCAAAAAAAAAATATACAAGTAGAGTTAGAAGTATCTTAATCAAGCTAATATATTAATTTATTATTGATTTATTATGTTTTATTATAAAATTATATTCCTTTTTTATTTGATTTTCTAATTATGTTCTTTTATTAAAAAGTAAAAAAATCTTACCTTGACGTTTCACAATTGAATACATATGCACATTTCCCACTAAATGAAACAAAGCGAAACAAAGTCGTAGAATAACTTTGAAATAAATCATTCTTCTGAATTTGTCCACCTTAACCCTTCAGCCTGTTTCTTCAGTCATGTATTGTAAAGAATGTAACACAGTGACGAGTTGAATGTCGTATCGCGTGTGTATCGTGTTTCACGTATTCAAAGGTCCTTATCAAGACATACTATGTCTAGATCTGCATTTCTTTTTTTTGTCTTAAATAATGCATGTTCATCCGACAACCAAAGAATCTTGCTAATTTTGGAACGATGTGCTATTGTTACCAAAATATTTGGTGTCTATGTATCCAAAGTAATGTATGATAAAACTGACCGAATTTCTCTGTACGAAAAGTACACTCTGACATTATCAATGGTATTCTAATTGTTTATTCAATGTATTCACTATAAGTTCATTTATAGGTGTGAGGTGCAAAAAAAGTTCCTTTTTAGGAAATCATTAATTTAGATAAATCTACTTAAATAATCAAGTAATGGCTCGCTGCGTGGACAGGATGGGTTTTAAAGCTAGCTACGTATTCTTATTTCCACCAAAGAGTCATCATAGTTACACGATGAAAGTGATAGTATGCTCACTTTTAAGCTTGTCAAATTGTTTCAGTAATATTTTTCAAAAGATTGGCTTTTATAATTGTAATTGACCAAAAGAAAAATGTTTATGTTACAATATAAAACTGCCTAAATTATAAAACGTAATCACGTCTTTTGATTCGCGTTACTATGCCCTTTGTTTCGTGTAATAACGCATTTTTGCGTTATAACGCCTTTATTTGCGTTAATTACTACGCCTTTATTCTCGTGATAATGCCCCTTTTCGCGTTATCACTCCTTTTGTTTCGCGTTATAACGCCTTACCAATACCATATTCAATTAATATTAGGCTTTCGTATGTCAGATATTTGCCAGAGTAACATTAAAATTATAAAGTTTTACCCAGCTAAATGATATATTTCCTAGATTTATTAACATGTCAGTTGCATACTGATTATATAGTCAGTGCACTGTATATGTAAAGCATCGATAGATCTTTGACTGAACAAACAATAAACGACAATATATATTCGATTATCTCTTTATTTGTATTAAGATATACAACGCAACACGGTATTCTAGCCTTTACTTTTTAGCCCATATTCATTCTGTTTAAAATCCGCAGACATCTATTAAGACAATTTCAACATATTTCATGTTTAAATTTTACTGTTCAAAGTAAAGTCTAGCATAAATTTGGCTATATGGCTCGTAATGAACACTTGCGATTGACGATTTGTATTCTGCGTTTATGGTGAGTCCTGTAATTTTGATTTAACGATATGATTTAATGATAATGGTATTTTAGAATTCTAAACAAAAAGAGAGAAACTGATGAAATTGAAATCTCGAGGTTTAAAACATTCGTTAAGTTGAAATTGTCAATTCGTGTACTTGAAATAGTAAAAATCGTGTATTCGCGAAGTTAAAATAGTAAATTGACAAAGTTCAAATCCTGCATTTGTGAAGTTGAAATCATAAATTCATGAAGCTGAAACAGTGTTCATGAATTCTTACATTCTGTTTATTGGAAAGTGTGAGCCATCACCTTAATCTTTATTTATTTTTAGTTTCCTATGGCAATATAATAACTTGTATTTTTCTTTGAAATAGAAGGCAATATTAAAGGAATTATTATTATGATGATGTTTATTATTATTATCATTATTATTATTATCTTATCATTATTATTATTATTATTTTAATTATTATTATTATTATTATTATTATTATTATTCTTTTTATTATTATTATTATTATAATTATTATTATTATTATAAATCTTACAGAAATAAATCTAATTAGATTTATTTCTTTTGTCAAATACAATCAAATTACAATCAAATTTTGCTTTAATATGTGTACGAAATAAGGCTTCCTTTCCCTATCCAATTAAAATAAAATGTTCAATGAAAAGTTACAGTATTGATAGTTCAATTTTATAGTTTAGATATTTCCTTTTTACTTGGTACATGTATCATTTGGTTTCTGTTGGTATTATTGGTAACGTTTTCGATGCACTGACTCAATTTTAATCATAGTGCATGATAATTTGAGATTATTTGTTTCGTTTTGGGCTATTATAAATATTATCTAAGTGGAAGTCAGAGCACAACATGGTTTGCCGTTCATAGGTTTAGTAACTTATATTTACTTTAATTTTTAACAATTACTTGAAATAAGACAAGCCATTCTTCCTAAAAGAATTTAAACGAAATTGTCTAATTACCTACAAACATTACTGTTGCTGTCTCTGTTGTGTTCTCGCATTTTGAAGTTATAGAAGAAGTTTATACAAGTTTCCTCTATAAATACAGGATTTTTTTTCATCGGGTGAAATATAATAACTTTCATACCACTAGCTGACAATAAATCCTGTATTTGTAGGAAAAAAAACATAAATTTTCTGTTTATTTTATAAATTTTTAACCTATAAATAGGCAAAATTCCCTTTTAATTCTGTGTATTGGTTTAATTTAGAGGAAGGTAGTCCGGCAAGGTACCAGTGAAAATACGGAAAATATGTTTCACTGCAGTGAAAAATAAATTTATACAGTGAAAATAAAGAAAATAAAATCCGCACTTTGTTTCATAAATAATTCTTAATTTTTCAATGCGGTGAGTATGCATTATACATGAACCTAACAGGAAAGAACATACGACATGAGACTTTACAGCACATAACATACGACATGAGACTTAACAGCAAAGAACATACGACATGAGAATTAACAGCACAGAACATACGACATGAGAAGTAACAGCACACAACATACCACATGATACTTAACAGCACAGGACATACACTATGAGACTTAACAGCACAGAACATACAACATGAGACTAAACAGAACAGAACATACAATTCGAGACTAAAGCGAACTTACAGCATGACAATAAACAGAACAAGACATACAAAATGAAATTAAACAAAATATACATATGATAATGAGACAAAATAGAACATACAACACCAGCTTTAACAGATGAGATACTACATATTACTACTATTAGATTATAAATTTACTATAAAAGTATTTTTCTGAAACAAATTTAATGGTAATGTATCCAAATATGTGTTTTGTTTTATATTATTATACCGCCCACCCCCTACATCATAAATTGAAAGAATATAATTTGTATTTCTCTAAAATCAGTAACATTTTTTTCAGAATAAAAAAAAGAAACATATGAAAAGAAAAATGAGTTCTACCAAAATGTATCACCCCGTATCCCAATGTCGACCAGGGAACTCGGTTTGTTATTTGCGTAAATCCCAAACTACCTACAAGGAGGTAGTAGATAATTCATACTTTGCATTTATTGCAAAAAAATATGAAGAACTTTTCATGAAAAATTAAAACTGATATATAGAAAGATTGATACTGGAACACCATGCGTGCTCCATCAGGATACTCAGTTGTTTTTTCGCACAAAAGCCCGACTACTTTCTAAAAGGTAGTGGATTTAGTCAGCTTCAATGTATTCCCTGATACTAGAACCGCAATTAGTTTTCCGTTAAGAACTATTTAAAGGCCAATCACCGTGGTTTTGGGCAGCTTGACTGTACCCAATGAGGCTAGGACCGGGCTTGGTTTTCAATTACGAACTCATCGTTTGACGTTGGTTTGGTCAATTTTATTGTATTCACTGAGGTTTACCGGGTTCAGTTTTCCGTTACAAACTACTTAAAAGGTCTATCACCGTGCTGTATTCCTGTATTGACTATTCTTTGAAGCTAGAAATGTTCTTCGTTTTCCGTTTAGTACTACTTACAACAAACAACAAAAACAAAACCAAAAAAAAAACACAAAAAAACCACAAAAAACAACAACAACAAAAATGCTTTTATTTAGAATCAGGTCACATACATGTAAATGCAACAACATGATCAAAAAGTTTTATTTTTTCTTATTGTTGGCATTTTAATTATATTTTCAAACTATATCCGATAACATAGAATGACTATAGCTTAAATGAAAGTAATATAAGGAACAGGTTGAGAAAGTAATTTTTGTATGTAACAATTTATCAATGTGTAAAAGAAGTAGTAAGTTTTTTATATTCTAGATAAACAAAGTATCTTCGTATATAAAAACAAATTGAATAGGTAAATTCAAATCTAACGGGACAAACTGAAATCAATACACCGCTGAGATATAGTTTCTACAAATTAACTATCAATGTCCGTGACGCACGGGAAGCACGATTTTTCATTCATAGATTATCAAAAGTAAGCGTGGCCAAGATTTAATCTCTTTCGGCGTAACGAAGCAACGGTGTGGTCGAAAATCGAATGCTCGCGCACTTGTCACTGTGAAAAATAATAAATGGATTTATTGTTGATAGAAATATTCATATTGATTCGGGCTCTTGGGATTAACGAAAGGTAAGCAAGACATAAGTATTAATAGTAATGTGCAATATTTGCATGCTTTGTATTTTCACGGTTAACCTTTGTTATTTAATTTCGAAAATGGTTCATTATTTGTTGCGACATGTGCATTATGTTTAATGAATCGGCGGAAAACAGTTCCGCAAACCTCGGGACGTTCGGTCTCTTATAGTAAGTTTTCGGAATAAATTTTATTCTTGTCAAAGAAATGGACATTTAAATTAATAGTGAAATTTGTCGCCAATTTCGTCAAGTGGACACAAAATGCATTTTCTATTTTCGTATTGGACGCGGAAGTTGTACCACCGCCAAGTTTCAACCAGTAGTTTATGTTCTAAAATGAAATAAAGTCAGTCTCAAATGGCTTGGTAAGACTTTTAGATATGGTTCAAGTTTTACGTCAGTTTTTTTCTGTAAAAAGTAATCAATAAGAGTAATTTTATTAACATTTTAAGATTATTTGTACTTTGATGTATCCAAAAAAGGTGTTCCCTGTGGACTGGTGGAGTAAAGAATATCTCTGAGCAAATTAAACCATTTGTTATTTGTATTGGAATTCAACATATTGCCGTAACATATTTTATGTATTTTATTTTGATTTCCGGAAATTAAGTTGCTCCAGAATTTAATAATTCTTGATTAAATTATAATTTCTAGGGGAGATCTGCCTAATTTTCCGTAAAGCATATAGAGGGGTGTACTTTTATTACTTTCGTATTTTATCTA